CCAGATGGGCAGGTGTGTCCCCGCCTGTTACAGAAGCCTGTGAAATTTCACAGTTCCAGGGCAGGCACTGAGACCAAGGTTTAAAAGTCAAGCCTATCTCTGCCCCAGATGTGCACCCTAGGGTGAACACGGGGAATGAGGTTTTGGTTTAAAGACAACTGTCTGTAAAGAAGGGGAATGACTTTGGAGCCTGAGAAACACAGTGCCTAATGCTCATCCATCACTCTCTGGTACTGGGCGGCCCAACGTGGGTGGGGGTGGGGGAGTAGTGGAGGACAGGAACCAGAGGGACATGTTTATTAACTGAGCACCTACTGTGTGCCAAACTTATGATAGGCCTTTGTGCCCTCCAGGGTTTTATTGAAACCACCTGTAGTCCTGCAAGTTCAGTTAGTACCCCTGATGTGCAGATGAGGAAACTGAGTCTCAGAGAGGTGGCGTGACATCCTCAAGGGGTAACAGAGTTAAATCAAGGCTGTCTGACTCAAGAGCTGGGGTGAGGGGTGAATAAGCCTTCATGTAGGTTGGGGGCATGAAGCGGGGCTTTGAAGCAGAAAGGCAATCTGGCAGAGCAAGAACATTCCAGAAAGGTGATCCTGTTATTGCTGTCCTTAATGTAAATCAGATCACAGCTACCCCCTGCTTAAAACCCTCCAGTGACGTCCCTTTGGCCCTGAAAATAAAGTCTACATACAGTCTTTGCCATGGCCTGCAGGGCCTCGAGTGGTTTGCCCCCCAACCCAATTCTCTTCAGTGGCACCAATTCCCCTCCTGCCTCAGGGCCTTTGCACAGACTGTTCCTGGCATGCTGTCCCCACTCCTCACCTACTTAATTTCTATTCTTCCAGCTGCTGCCCTCCCCCCTTACATGAAGTTTTCTGAAGCTATAGGCTGTCACCCATGACTAGCACCCAGTAAGGATCCCACTCTCATGTGACCCCTTTTCTTTCACAGCACTGAGTACAATTTATCATTTTCTTAGCCATCCATTTTCAAGAGGCAAAAGTTAGTTCTTGGGGGAGTGAAAAAAACTTAGATGGTACAATTATTTGCGGCATTACATGACAAAATCTTATTCCTTAGTATTATAACTGTCATTAAGAAGAAATTAAATGTAAATAATTGTAATTAAGTTTAATTAATTTAAATAATTTAATTAATTCAGTAATTTAATTCAATGGTTCTCCTTAGGGAGTGATAATGAAAAAAAGTAGATGCTTCTTAAAGCACCTGTGAATTTGCTTCTGCTGTGTCTGCTGCCCTCATATCTGCCAGGGCGGGCCCAGGTCTACCTTAGTACTGCTGAAGCGCCAGTTCTAAAATGCTGCCTGGCACACAGTAGGCGCTCCCATGTGCCAAGCCTTGTAGAGAAAAATCTAGACAAGGTTCTGCTGTACAGAATCCATGCTGGGTCTCCTTTCCCTGGATCCCTGGGCATCGGAGAACCATGGAAGGTTTGGGAGCTGGGGAGGGAAGCAATTCCTGGGTTGGGGCATCCCCAACCAGAGATCGCAGTTGCTGCTGCCTCCCAAGCCTCTTCCCACCTGAGACTCACCACAAGACCCGTCCAGGACAGGTATGAGCAATCTACAGCTTCTGCAAGGCTGGAGGGGGTGGATGCAGCTACAACCAGGCTTAGCAGGTGGCTCACTGGGGTGGGCAGAGTCTGGGCAGGGATATGGGGAGTGTGGCAGGACTCCTGGGTTTCTGGGCTCACCTGGCTCTGCCTCACTGGCTGGGGTGCCTTGGGCAGGGCCCTGGCTGAGCCTTTGCGACTTTCAGGAGAACCCGACTTCCCTGGGCATGAGGATAGACAAGCTACAATAAATGTAACACAGCTGATGTTTATGTAAACCCTCCCACCTGTTTCCAAAAGGATTCACAACGGCTTTCACAAGAGGCAAAGAAATGAACATTTAGAACATTCCAGGAGTGCAGGTGGGGGCTGCAGTTATGTTTACTCAGCAACAGTCCTGGGAGGGCTCTCCAGGAGCAAGGCAAACCCCTCAATGTACTCACTAGGGACTGTGAGCTCAGTGCACTCAGGGAAGGGAAGGGAAGTGACCAGCTCAAGGCCACACAGCTAGCATCACCAAAGCTAGGAGCTGAATTACTACGTGCTCAGTGTCTCCCAGATGTGGGGTAGCTTTGCTCTGTGTCTGAGGGCAAGGCTGCCTGTGTGGCTGCAGATTTCAGCACAGCAGTCCCAGGAACTGAAATTAAGGTTTACTCCCTGGCTCTCTTTTTTAAGCCTGTCCAGTAATTCTGGCCCAGGGAAGGGGGAAGGGGCCAGCAAGTGGCTCCACCAGCTTTATCTCCGGCTGTGTGAGTAGGGGCAGTGACTGAATAAGCAGGGCTGGTGTCATCTCCCCTCCCAGCAGAGACTTAACAGCATCTGGCTAAGCCTCCATCTAATGCACAGATCCCTTCCCAGACACACCCCCACTAGGGGCTGCAGCCTCTGCTTGCACACCTCCCCTGATGGGGAGCTCATTTCCATTGAGAAGTGATTCCTAGAGGAATCAGAGATTCTTTTTGTCCTGGTTCTACTCCCCGAGGCCTGTGACGTGAGGGCTTCATGTGTAAACTCTGCAGCCCCTGGGGGCAGGGTATGTCTGGGAAGGGATCTGTGCATTAGATGGAGGCTTAGCCAGATGCTAAGTCTCTGCTGGAGATGACACCAGCCCTGCTTGTTCAGTCACTGCCCCTACTCACACAGCCGGAGATAAAGTTGGTGGAGCCACTTGCTGGCCCCTTCCCCCTGCCCTGGGCCAAATTACTGGACTGGCTTAAAAAAGGGAGCCAGGGAGTAAACCTTAATCTGGCCCAAACCTTGGCACAGTTGGCAGGCCCAGCTCCCTGGGCCCCACTGCCCTGGTTCTGGACTTGGTCTTGGGCTGGAGGGCACCTTCCCTTGTGCTTGCCATTTCCTCTGTATGGCACCCTCTGTGTCAGGCTCTGAGCAAAACAGACTTCTCCCGGCCCTAGAAGAGCTCCCAGCGTAGTGGGGGAGGTGGACAGTGGGCAAGAATGTAAATAAATTGCTAACCTAAAAATAAAAGGGCCTCTCAAAGTGAGAGGCAACAAGCATTTACTGAAATCAATAAGAATAGCTATTCGGGAAGCACTGATTCAGGCAGAAACCCAACTAACGTTCTGATTAGGAGAAAAGGCAGTGGGTATATATGAGAAAGGGAAGGGGAACAATTACATCACTAGGAATAAGGCATTTCTATTGAAGCAGATAACATAACATAGTGATGCTAATTCTAAAGCGTTTTTAATTTTCATTCCGGTAGTCATCAGTTCTGTAGTTATATCTGCTTTCTTGTTATCTTTGCAAACAGTTTTTTGAGAAACAAGGCTGCTTAGGTCCAGTCCAGAGGTTATTTTGCCCTGTTTTTAACCTTCCAAGGTCCGAGGCATAACACTTGCAAGGCAGTTCCTCTGGTATGGCAGCTCCGCCTCCATTTTGAAGTGGCTCCATTTATTTTATTGTTTACAAAATAAATATGAAGAAAATACAGCACAGTGAGCGGATAAAGTGATGGGGTGGTCAGGCAGGCCTCTGTGAGGAGGTGGCATCTGAGCACAGACGTCTAAGCCAACCAGCAGAGCACCCCAGGGGAGACATTCTGGGCAGAGAGGACAGCAAGTGTAAAGGCCCTGAGGCAGGCCTGGGCTTGATGTGTTTAAGCAGGAGAGGCTGAAGCTCAGGGAGCAACTCGCAGAGGGCTGGGAGGGGCAGTCCAGTTGGGCCAGCTGGTGTGGGTGCTGTGGGCCATTGGGAGGCTTGGACTGGGGAAGGTAGGAACAACAGCACAATTCTGAGGAGCGGAGAGGCTGAGTTGATGTTTAACAAGGAGGCTGCCTTAACCTGGCCTCCAGAAGGGAATTCACCAAATTCTCCCTCAGGGGCTGCCTCTCCACTCAAGACCAGGCCTGAATGTTGCATTTTTTATGTTGCCGATGAGGAGGTTCTCACAACTGTAATTGAAACAGAAAGTCCACGTGCCTCTGCTCCTCTGTTTGTTAGTCCAGGAAACACTCCTTAGCCCTGGTCTGGGACATGTGGCTGCCCAACTCCTGCTGCCGGGAGGGCAATGGAGACATCTGGCCTTGGCAAAGGGCTGGGTCCAGACCCTGTGCCTATGATCTCTACCTCACAGCCTGGGGGCAGGGAAGAGGGCCCTGCTACTTGGATAAGGCATGTGGTGGGGAGCCTTCACTGAGGTCAGGGGTTGTATAAACTGTCAAGGGCCTGAGGACTGGACAGGTACTGTGTAAATGTCAAAGCAATCTGCACACTGCTTCCCCCACTTGGATGACTGGACAACCTTTGTAAAAGCTGTAAGGGTCTATTAAATAGTAACTAAACCTGTAAATGCTAGTGTTTGACCTAATGTGGAGAAGAATCTACAAACTCTAAGGTGCTTTCTAATCTGGCCATTGCTTGGCAAACATATACTATTTGGTAAACTATAACATGCTTTGTAATTCTGTAGAGGGCTTTGCAAACTGCAGTCCTTTGTAAACTGTAGAGTATTTGACAGCTATAGAGGGCTGTGCAGCCATGAGAATCTGTGCATGAGAATTCCCGCCCTGTCATCGTACATAAGCCCAGAGCTCCCAACCGGGCCTATGTATGGATGTGTGGTGGGTAGGGGGGGGGGCGCGAGGGGAACCCGCAAACAGGCGGGCCAGTGGGCTTATAGTGCAAGGGCAGAGAACTGAGCTGAGCGGGTCAGAGCCCCAGGGCAGGCCCCTGGTTCACCCGGAGACCCTGCCTCCTCTTGGACCGAAGGGGCAGAGTTGGCAGAGGGAGCACTCGAAGGCCACGGCCTGGGGACAGAGGGTCAAAATCGGGGTTCTGCCGCCTCCTGAGGCACGCCTGGGGCCGCGCCCCTGGGACTCAGGTTCAGCCTGTCCTGAGCGCGCGAGCCCGTGGACGGCCGAGCGCGCGCGCGCACCCCCCCCCCCCCCCCACACACACACACGGCTTCGGGATCCATTTATTCGTGTTTTCATTCACCAAATGTTGACTGAGCGCTCGCTAGGTGTCGGCACTGGGGACACAATAGTGGCAGGTCAAATCTGCCCAGATAAAGCAGATAGACTAGCTAGAGTAGCTGAACCAGAGGTGGGGGGTGGGGAGGGTGGCCTCCCTAAGAAAGTGCCACCCGTGGGAGACCAGGGAATAGTGGCGAAGGGAGCTCCACGCAGAGGGTACAGTTGGTGCAAAGGTCCGGAGGTGAGAACAAGCCTTCATCATGGAGGGAGGAAGGGACCGGCACAAAAGCTCCTTGAAATTGTTAAAGGCTGTGTTTGGGAAGGGTTAATAGGCAGAGGCCTGTCCCAGACTGAGGGCTATTTGGAGACCGGCTGAGCTAAGGATGGGAGGAGTGGTGGACTGAGGTAGAGAGATGGACCCCAAGGAGATCGGTTCCTTCTCCTGGGAACATGCCCCAATTTCCCCTGGAATGCCCTGCTCTCTCAGACCTTGAGATGTGGGTGGGCTGACTCCCCTCCCTACCCCGTGTTTGAACCTCTGGCTTGTGATTGGCTTGGGGATGGGCATGTGACCCCTTCCCACCAAGTAAGCAGCCCTGGGACTTCATCTGAACCCCTGGACCCCTTTGCTGAGCTGGTGGGAGCCACTGGGTCCTGACTTGTCCCCATGAGGAGAGTATGAAACTGAGACAGAGAAAACAGAGCTAAGGTGGACACAAGTTCTACACGTATTAATCACACTCCTGGATCCAACTGTGCCTGAAGCATATAGTTTCGCTCAAATGAGCACATAAATTCCCTTCTGCTGAAGTAGGATGGAGGACCGTTTCTGCCCCAGCCCAACCTTCAAAGATCACAGACCCAGACTGGACCCTGCCAAGGAGACCTTGCTTGAGCTGCCCCCACTCTTCTGAGAGCCCTCTCCAGGGGACCACTACCAGCCCCCAAGCCATGATTTCTCCATCTTACAAGATATGGGGATTTGGGCAAGTTATTTCAAGTCTCTGGGCCTGTAGTTCCATCTGGAAAAAGGATAACATAATAACCTGAGATAGTAACAGAACACCCTCGATGAGGTGATAATATCCAGGCCCAGCACTGCTCGTCACTCTGTGCCTCTGACAAAGCACTCTTCAAGAGGGGAAAAAGGCACCCCACCAGTGATTGGACCTGTGTCCAGCACAGGGCCTGGTGCCTCATCACAGTCCTCTGGGAGGCTCGGTGTCCTCATATGTGAAAGTGCAGGGCTCTGGCACGTCAGCAAGACCCTGCTCCCCGATCACACCGCCCTAGCCCTGTCCCAGGGGGAATGGGTCCTTCCAGGGCCACAGATCTTCACCGAAGAGTGGGGCTCGCCGCTGTGACACACAGTCTCACACAACCTTTTGACCCACTTTAGCTTTTAAAATCAAAACAGCAATCAGGTAACTGCCCCTAAGTCATCAGGGATAGGATCCAGGACAGGCAGTCCTTTCTTCAAAAAAATATATTTTCTTTTTTTAAACAACACCAAAAGCAAATCCATAGCCCCTATCAAGCTGGTGCCCAAGGAGAGCACCTCTCTGAGGAGAGACCTTGGGCCCATCCTCCTAGACCCCAGCCTGAGCAGAGAGGGTAGGTCTCAGGTGGCTGGTCCCCTAGGGCGTGGCAGAAAAGTTACCAGCTCCAAACCATGCAAGAAAAACCAGCCAAACCCACAAAGCAAAAGAAAAAAAATAAAGAGGATAATTTTTTTTTTTTAAAGTGAGACACCACCCCTAGAGGTGGCAGGCAGAGGCTAGGGGTCTTTGGTGCCCCTTAGAGGTCGTTTGCCTGGGTGAAGGTCTGGAGTGGCTCTGGCATCTCCCTCGTAGTAGGCTCAGGGGGATTCGTGTGGCTCATCCCTGTGTCCTCCCTATTGATGTCAGGACAGAGGTGTAGCCACTTTGGATCAAAATGTGCAAAGTCCATTCAGTCGAGAGATAAAAAAATATACAACTTTGGTGGCATCCACGGCTGGGCCAAGGCAGTGGTCTGTGCACAGGCACCAGCTGCCTTCTCTGCGAGGGGCAGCAGCATCTGGCAGGGGCATCCAGGTCCCTCCAAGTCCTGGGCCTCTGGGACTGGAGACTTAGGGTCCTTGGAGTAGCATGACAGAGGCACTGGTGGGCCCCAAGTGGGCCTGGCAGGGGACCCCGACAGTCTGGTTCTTTGGCAGTTGGGAGCAGCCCCCTCAATTCCTCCTGGAATGCCCAAGGCCAGGGTGGCAGTAGCTTATGGGTGTGGGCAAGCACTGCCCTAGCAGAGGGGTGCTAGAGGGCCAGAGTGGGATCCAAGGCCCTGCCCCCTATGAGTCCTCTCCCAGGATCTCCTTCACAAAAGCAGTGATATCTGTCTTCTTCGTTTTGTGCAAGGTGAAGAAAGGGTGCTCCTGGTGGGGAACAGGAGAAGGAGTAAGGTGGCGGTGCCTCCACCTCCCCAAACCAGCCCCACCCAGCCCCTGTGTGCTCCTTCTGCCTGGCAAACTCTTAGTCATCCCTCTAGGACTTCTGCCCCCTTGTTAGAGACAGTGTTGATGGCTTCCTCCTTGGACCTCCTGTATCTATCCTCCAGCCACACTAAACTCACTTTTCGCCACACATTGCAGGCCTCTGCCCACGATGGGCATTCCACTTGAAACACCCTTTCCATCAGTGGGTAAATCTTTAGTCATCCTTCCAAGCCCAGTTCAAATGTCACCTCCTCTGTGAAGTCTTCCCTGATGATTTTGAATAAAATGGTCCACCAGCCTACCCCACCCCAATCCCTCTGCGCTGTCATAGCACTGCCTGTAGGCCCCTCCATAGGGCCTGGCATGGAGGAGGGTGGGGGCCAGCGTAGGCATGAGCAAATGAATGACCGAGTACCTGAATGAATTAATGCAGGAGCAAGCCAGAGGAGCTGCCCACCTCTGTGTTCGCGAATGCAGCCCTCTCCCCAGAGAGCTGCCCAGTGCTGCCCCCACCCACACTCACCATCAGCTCCAGGTAGCTCATGCGCTCCGCAGGGTTCTTCCTCAGGCTAGGAGTGAACAGAGCACGCTGGGGTCAGGCTGGTATGGAGGAGGCAAGTCCAGCCCCTCCAGGCCGACCAAGCCAGCTGGGCTTAACCCTAACAGGCCAGTAAGGAGAAATGTGTGCTCCAGGGGATCAAAGAAAGAAGGGGCGGGACTGTTTTCGGGAGTTCCCAAGGGCGGAGTGGGATCTGCGGGTGTGAACTATAGACTTGGACCAAGTTCTTTGCCTCTTGGGGTGATAGTCTTCTTGTCTCTACAGCAATCTAGGAAATTTCCAATAACCCTAATACTAAAATGACACAGAAATGCTATCATTAACAATTGTATGCTTGGTGTCCTCAATCAGGAGGGAAAATTCCTATCACAAGTCCTGGGATAGGGAAGGCCCCAATTAAAAGGGGTCAAGGTGACCGATGACTTTGCAAGGCTCATTTGTTTTCAGTCTCTTTTATTTTCTAGTAAAAGAAAGGCTACAAATTTTCCTCTGAGTATCTCTTTACCCACAACCCATAGATGTTGACATGTTATGTTCTGTCTTTCCCTTCTGAATAACTTATAATTTTATCAAATCTCTTTCATAATCCAAGAGTGAGTCAGTAGAATTTACTTTGAATTTCCATGTAGCTTTTTCCTCTTTAGTTATGCACTTCTTGTTTTACTTAATTATGGCAGGGAATGTGGCCTGTATGACTTTGCCTTTTTCCTTTTCCTTTGTAATCTCAAACACAATTTTTATAAGGCTCCCACAAGCATTCTTTAATTCGGTACAAAGGTCTAAACATCAATAAAAGCAACTTTCTTTATGCTATTCAAATCCTATAAGCTTTTTGTTTTCTTTTTCGGTCTACCTGGTCTGTCCATGTCTAGGACTGTATTAAAATCTCCTTGAGGAACGCAATTTGTCCTATTTTCCTTGTACTCTATTTCTGCCTTATATATTTTGATGCTATGTTGTTTGCGGGGAGTGTTATTTGCTAAAGGAGAAAGGGACTGAGCCCAGGGAGGAGCTGCGATCTGGCCAGGGCAGGGCTGGAGACTCACCACTGTGCAGTGAAGTCCACAAACTCGGGAGAGAAACGGTCAGCTGGGAGCTGGGGGGATGGCTCCTCTACCACCTGCTTCAGCTGCTGGAATGGGGTCCCCCAGGACTCATAAGGAAACCGTAGAATGGCCATCTCAATCTGCAGTGGGGAAAGTGGCACTGGGTCAGATACACCCAAAAGCACAGCATTTTCAGAAGCCACCTGTCCTGGCCCAGCACTTGGAGCTGGGCCGAGAGGCAGGTCGAGGGGTTGACATGTGACATCAGACCAAAGATGAAAGCTAGGGGGACACAATAGTTGGCTGTTCTGACCCAGCCAACAGACTGCAACTGATACAGCAGATCCTATCCTGGGTTGAGACTGGTTTTACCATCCTTGGGTTTTCAAACAATCTGAATTCCGAAAATTTTATATAAAAACCTAGATTCCAGCTGATTTGGAAAAAATCGGAGGAGCTGGCAGCCCTGGGCCACCTTCCCACAGGCACCAGTCAGAGTCAGCAAAGGAACTCAGCCAGGTAACAGCTTCACTGTTCACTCGCTACAGGACACTCTGCTCCCTAACGTCACCATGATATCTTAGCCTCTGCTGCCATTGATTTGGGTGGCTGTTATTACAGAGAAGGCAAACAGGAAATAAAATGATGTCTTCCCCAAGGCTGTAGAAGGAATGTCAGACCACGATGCTCACATGTAATGGGCTCCTTCACTCTGCAACAGCATGCTCCAGGCCCCATCAGGAATTGAAGTTTGCAGTCCTTCCTCCTCCACAGCGTCACTGCCCACCCACCAGCATACAGTAAGGCCCATCTCCAACACCTCCTCTCCAAGAAGCCTTCCCCTCTCCGCCCCCATCACTGTCTCTCCCTGACCCTCTGGACATGTGGCCACCATGGTCTCATCGATCCTGCTGGACCTGGACCTCCCTGCAGGCAACATTGGAGCCAGCCAGCCTCTGCATCCATGCCAGGCACCTAGCCCTGTGCCTTGACTGCAATAAGCTGAAAGTCATTTATGGAAAAAAATGGCTAGCTTATGACCAACTCAGAGTTCCGATTTTGACTGCCGAATTGAAAAAAATCAGGACAGCCCAGGCCCGTCTGAAACAGCACAGAAGCTTCTGACAGGGCATAATGAACAGAAGACACCTCAGCTAAAACAAATGCTTCATGTTGGCAACTGGCACCCCAACAGATCACTAATTATTGTGCTAAAAAAAGCCTTTGCATTAGGGTAATGGCCCCTTTCAGCCAAGACATAAACACACTACACAGATGGAGGACACGCACTGGGTGTGGGTGTGATCCTGTGTGTGTCTTTTCACAGGACAAATTCAGTCTGCTCTTTCCTAGAATTTTCACTGATTCTAACAAGCACAAGTGAGGACCCTGTATGGGGCTGCCAGAGAAGGACCCAGAGGCCTACTAGAGTTTATAATTAGGAAACTGGAAACATGGCCAAACCCTCGACGTGGCAATCCCTTTCCTAGTAATTTTTTCTAAAGAGCTCAAAAAATGGAAAACAAAACAAAAACAGCCTCGCGGCACAGAGTTGCACGAGGTGGTGTTATTTGCAATAGTAAATATTGAGAACTAGTCTCAACACCCAGCACCAGGGACCAGCCTGCTCCAGGGCAGCTGAGTCTCCATGGGGACTGTGAGGTATGTCCTCTGACACCCCATACAAGAGTTCACATGATCAGCACTCAGTCGACAGTCATTATGGCCAACAGCCTTCTCAAATATTATTCTGTGTCTATTCTGGTAAATGTCCTTTATGTTCTGTGGCTGTGCTCAAGTGACTGCAGAGAGCTACCCAGTGTGGGTTCAGCAAGGATGGGAGGGAGACTACCCACAGGGGTGAGCCTGGCACACAATGCTTCATGAGTTGCTCCCCCAGGATAACCAGGGATTTTAAATGCAAAGGAAAAAAAGAAACACGTGAAATGTCCCGAATTAGGAGACTGGCTGTGCAGATAGTGGCAGATAGTTGTAAAGTCTTTGGAAGAGAGGCCTATCAAGGTTTATAACAATCCAGAGAAATATGAATGATGTGAGGCTAAGTGATAACAGCTAAATAAAAATTGTATATATACATATACATACATACATACATACATTTATTTATTTATTTATTTATTTATTTATTTATTTATTTATTTATTTATTTATTTTACAGAGGCGAAACACCTAGAAGGAGATGCACAGTGGTGGCAAATGACATGTGGAGAAGGGGCTGTGTATCTGGAGTGGAACAACCATGGTGATTTTTGTCCCTTTTACTTCTCCTCTGTATTTTTATATTATGTTTCTATTACTTTGTAACTTGGGCAGGGGAGGGAACCAAGCCTGTTGTACTATGGCAGCTGGTCTCCTACATGGCCACCACAGCTTCTCCTCCTTATGTGCACGTGCCAGTGCCCCTCCAGAGGGGGAGTCTATTTCCCCCTGAACTTGCTTTGACCTGTACAGAGGCAGAGTGACGCTGTGCCAGTCCCAGGCCTAGCACTTAATGGCATTTCCCTTGTGGTGGAAGCCAGTCACCATGAAAGACTTCACAACCCTTACCGCCTGCTATGAGGGTGCCCAGTGAGCAGCCAGCTTTAAGGAAGCCGGGTGCAAGCCCCAGTTTGTAAAGCCTTCTTGAACCTTCCAGCCCAGCCCAGCCCCGACTTCAGCTGTGACCCAAGACCTGACCCTGGCCAGAGCCAGGTGGAGTAGAAGACCCACCCAGCTGAGTCCAGCCCAGACTGCAGAAACAGGAGATATAAAATTGTTGGTTTAAGTCACTAGGTTCTGAAGTGGTTTGTTCTGCACCATTTGCTATCTGAAATATACACCTAGCACACACTTTTCCAAATTGCACCAGAGACATCAGGTCACTGGGATGTGGTGGGTCCCCAGTAATGATGTATGGACAGGTGGAAGGGAGGGAGGGTCAGAAGAGGGAGGAGAGCAGAGATGAGTTATATGTGAAGTGCTCATGAGTAGGGTCTCTAACATCCAGCCAGCTGTCTGTTGCCTGTAAATATACCAAGAGTTTGGTCTTCTTATTTCTTAACTGAGGAGTTGGAAAACTTCTATCTGCAGGTATAGCATCCACCTTTACACTGTGAATATTCCTTTATGCTTCAAAAAGAAAAAAGTTGAATTGGAAAATGATGTGTCAGTAGTATTAAGGAAAATTGAAGGTATCACCCAGTTCCATGTCGCTGACAAAATGATTTTGATCCTTTCTCAGTCACTGTGAACAGACACAGCTAAAGTTAGTCACATACAGTGACAACAAGGATTACGATGATAATGACTGCAACATCAGTAAAATCCAAAACGCCTCTGTTGACCCTGCACTCTCACCCTGACACTTCTCTAACCTCCCCTTGGGGTCTGGCCCCCAGGTTCACACTAGGCGTGCCCCCACCTTGGGCCTCTGCCTCAGACCCCTGCGGGTCTCTCTCCTCCCACACCCAGAGGACTGTGCTGCTCTGCTCCTGCCACCCCACAGTCATTCCCCACCCCACTTTACTTTTCTCCATACCCTTTTGCTCCATATATTTTACTGATTGATTTTGATTATTGACTGCACCCCGTCCCCAACACTGGGAAGCCAGAGGACTAGGGCAGGGAGGGTACTGACACCACAGAAACGTCAGGGACAAATCCACACCCCGTTAGTTCCAATGGTTGGGCTGGGGGCGGTAGAGGCAACAACCACTCAGGCCAGTGAGTCAACTGGACTCATGTATGCTGGGGCCCCCATGACGGTAACCTTTTCTCATGCACCCAGGTCTCATATCCAACTAAGTACTCCCTTGTGGGGGAATTAGCATCCTAGTCCTCCTCCTGTCCCTCCAGCCCATGTTCCACATCATGCCAAAGTGGGTTTCCTAAAAATAACTAACTAAACCTCTACCCACACCTGAGCAGGGGCCAGGGTGCTACTGGGCAATTCTTGAAAAACAAGAGTCATATGGGTCCAGCCCTACCCCTGAACCTCAGATGCAGCCACTCCAGCTCAGTGGAAGGCTGGACGCCTGCCCCCACAGGCCCAGGACTGAGACCCACCCACCCTATCCTACCATGCCCATGGAAATGCACCAGGACCCCACGGGCAACATACTTCTTGCTGTGAGGAAGGTGTTTTAAGATTTTTACCATTTTGCTTTTAAAGTTATTTTTGTACCACTTAATTTGGGATTGGCTGGGAAGTGGGAGTTGAGTCCTGGCCGTGAGGTCCCTTAAGCACCATGAGCTCAGGGGAAAGTCCAACAGACAGGTAATCACAACTGTCGAGAACTTTCATGAAGGGCACCCCTCACCACTAGAGAAGGGCTTACTGTTACCTGCAGACAGTTCCTTCAATATACCGTAATTGTGGATGGCACATTTTCTTCTCAGATTGTGAAACCAACACTTTCTTCCAGGGCCTAAACTATTTGATGGGCCCCCCAAAAGCTCACTGACTGGATACCCCACCCGACTAGCCAGGTGGCACCATGCCCCAGGCAGTACCATGGTGATGCCAAGGCTCCAGACGTCGGACTTAACATTGTAGCCCTTCTGGTTCAGCTCCGGGTTGATTCTCTCAGGCTGTAAGAGACCAGGGAGGCATGAACACCCACCCTATGGGGAGGGGCCAGAACAGGGGGCACCCAAGCCCCCTCAGCTAGGTCTTACCTCCCCGACCTGAAACTGCGGGGTCAGTGCTCATTCTATCCCACATTCCCATGGGACAGATGAGGAAACTGAGACAGTGAGGGCCAGGGTCTCAGGGTAAAGGCCTAAACCTTGCCTTGAAGGTACCCCCAGGGGGCTGGGAGGAGCACCTATAGGACACTAGAGGAGGGGCAGGACCTGCACAGAATCCATGAGTCATCTCCGTGTGGGTGTCCATGAAATTGACCCAAATGAGCACTTCAGGATACAGTTAATAACAGGGGTAAGAGGGGCTACTTGGGCAGGCCGGGCGGAAGGGTAGCCACTCAGTGACAGGAAATGCAGGGTTGGGGGAGACCCCATCCCTGATGGACAGAGGACATGGCCTGATAGTATCTCCCAGGCACGTCCTCTCCTGACCCTCAGCCATGGCCCAGGAATTGGGGTGGCAGGGACCACTCACGGCCATGTAGGGCTTGCAGCCGGCGTCCATTGTCTTGGCAACAGAATCCACCAAGTAGCCACTGATCCCAAAGTCACACATCTTCACATGGCCCTCCTTGTTGATGAGGACATTTGATGGCTTCACATCTGCCAGGGACAGAACACACCTTTTCAGCTCTGGGAGCCCTGGCTGGAGGGCAGTAGGTTCCTTCTATACCCCAAGTGCCCAGGGAGCAGATGAGGAACTGAGGCTCCAAGAGGTGGCCGTGCAGTGAGGACATGCCCTAGACACAGGTAGGGGAGGAAATGGGGGTTCCACTGCTTCACTAGGATGGGGTCTTGGCGCCCATCATCAGCACTTTGGACACGAGCCCTGAGGGACCTCACGGACAGGACTCGACTCACACTTCCCAGTACAACCTCTAGCTCTGGGGTCCTCCCTGGCTGGGGAGGGGGGTCATCACTGAAAGGGTGAGGCCCGAAAACCACCCAAGTGTACACGCCGAGAAGTCAGCAGGTTCAGCCAGGAAGCACAGGGCAGCAGCTTAAACACAGGAGGTGGGTCTGCATGAGAACATGGAGCCCGCCCCACGACTCAAGGTCCATACAGAGCAGGCTGCAGGGTACGTAGTAGGGAATCTTCCAGTAAATCACACACAACACAATGCCATGTGCTTTCCAGGGGGACGTACATAAGGACAAAAATGCACAGAAAAAGGGATGACACGTTTGGTTCCATGCTGAAATGCCAACAGTGGAGAGCTGGGGGCTGGGATGGCCACTGAGTGGCCAACAGGGGGCTTAATCTAATTAACTTTGAGAAAAGGCAATACGTTGGGGTAGGAGAGCTACTAATAATGAAAAAGGAGAAACTAGGACATACACAGCATGGGTGGATCAGAAACACTAGGCCAAGTGAAAGAGGCTAGAGAGAAGGAACATGCATGTGAGTCTATTTATATGAAGTTCAAGAACAAGAAAAACCAATCTACCGTGGGAAAAATCATATGAGGAGTGTGACGGGATGTGGGGGGCAGGGACCAGCCAGGAAGGGCCAAGAGAACTTCCTGGGGTCGGGTTGGGGGGTGGAAATGTACTTGCCAGGGGTGGGAGCTATGTGGGTGCAAACTCTGAACAGATTCACCGAATAGTAACTACAGATCTGTGCGTTTCACAATATGTAAATGATACATCCAAACAAAATGAGTCAGCCTTCCCAGGGCAAAGGTCCATCCAGTCCATACTCCAAGTACCAGCAAACCTAGGGGGAGGTGGCTGTGGTGTAGGACTGGTTCTGGGGTGCAGGCCAAGGAAGGTGGCTTGGCAAAGTGAAGAGTGGCCTAAACTGGGAAGCAGGCTCAACTCCTGACCCTAGCAGGCAAATCCCTACCTATCACCTCTCTGAGCCTCAGCTGGCTCATCTTGAAAAAGGGGAGAGGTCCATCTGCCTCACAGGACAGAGTGAGACTATGAGTGTGAGTAGCCCGCGGGCCTCTCCCTGATGGTCGGATCGGGCACTGACCTCTGTGGATCACGGACAGCTTGCTGTGCAGGTGCTCCAGCGCCCTCACGATCTGGCATGCAGGATGGGGAGGAGCGGAGAAAACAGGATTGATGTCACTTCCAGTTGCATCGACAATGACAGAGCAATAAGACCCCCTTCCCCACAAACCCCCCCCCTTGCCGGCCATGTCCATCTGTCTCCCTCTTCCACTTACACACCCAGCCCCACATTAACCCAGGCTCCTGCCCAAATCCCAACATTTGCCCCGGTGGCCTGGCAACCTTGGTGGTGACACACCTGGCTTCCTGCTTTTCTCCCGCCCACCCGAGTGAGCCAGGGTCTTGGGCCCAAGCCTTCACCATGGAAATGATGTGCCGGAGACCCCCGCAGAGTCCCAGGCCTGTGACCCCCAAGGTGCCATCACCATCCCCCACCAGGCTCTTGGGTAAAACCCAGCCCATCTGCAGACTCCTGGCTCCTCTCCCCTTGTCAGCATAGCCCATGGACTACATGCTTGAGCTATTCCCCTCAGGAAAACATGGTGGGGGAGCCTGGGCAATTACCCCAAAGATTCTGACTCAATACCCATGCATGGGTACGTTTTAAATGGTCCCAGATGCAGTCAGGATTGAGGACCACTTTGGCTGCTGGGATGCTTGACCCAGGGCTGCTGCCCTCCTCTAACAATGTTCAACCTCAAAAGGCAAACATTTTGGATGCTAACCTTTCCCCCAATTTAGCTTGTACCTATTTAAGCTGCCTCAGGGACCTTTCAGCATAAGGAAGTTGTAAATATTTCCTTTTTAAAAATGGTCTAGGAAGCTTGGGAGTTGCACGCAAAAGCCTAGAGACCCAGGAGCTGCCAAATCAGTGTGGCTCCAGAAACCCCAGGCTCCGAGGTCTCCTTAGCAAGAAGGCTCTGGTACAGGATGGGGAAGTTGGGCCCCTGGGGGGCAGTAGCCTAGGTTCAGGCCCATACTGGGCCCGGCTCTACCCAAGATACCACCATCAGACGGCTTTGTGCCTGCTGGGGCAGGGCTGTGCTGCTGGCTGTGTCCCCGGAACTCCCGAGCCCACACAGGCCACTTACAGACACAGCAATCTCCCCAAGAATGTCCTCTGGAATCGTCATGTTTTTATCAAGCACCTTCCGGTAGAACTTGTCCAGGGATGTGTCCATAAGCTCCATGCAGATCCACACATCTCCCTGTGGGTAGATGCCTGGAGGTCAGCCCAGACCCGCCTGGGGCAGCACCTGTGCCTGGGCAGCCTGCCCTGGTGCCAGCGCCAGCCAGGCCTCCAGCAAACACATCTGCTCATTCTTCAACCCACAGACATTTACTGAGCTCCCAGCTCCTCCCATCCTGCCTCCCCAAATCTCTCAATCTGCTCACTTCTCCACCTTCCCGGCTTGCCTACATTGCTAAGGCTGTACACTAGCCTCCCCTGGCTCTGCTGTCTCTGGTCGCTACTATCTGATCCCTAATTCTATGGCAATTTCCAGGGAAAAGTGATTACAACACCTGGTTGTGTTCCTCCCATGGGGACTTTCAGGATCTGGCTGCAGCTCAGCTCCACGACCCAGCTCTGCAGACCCCTCCTGCTTCAGCTCTGATGGTCCCCAACACACATGGCTCATCGCTGCTCTGACCTTAGTGGATGGTTCCTTCCTCTACCTGCAATGCCCTGCCTCCTCTGTCTAAGCCCCCAGCAAATTCCTGGGTATCCTTCAGGACAGCTTTCTGGGAAGGCTCAGTGCAGCATCTCCTTGGGGTATCCACAGGCCCCTGGGCCTCCCTGCTAGCTCTGACCCAGCATGTGGCAAGCCTTGGGTGTGTGTCTGTCCCCCCAGTGGCAAGGGGACAGACGGCCTGAACCTGACATGCAGTGGGTGCTTAGCCAATCAGACGAGTGGATGATGAGGCACTGACCCACTGGTGGGTCGGCCACACCAGCAAGCTCAGGGACCCAGCAGGTGCTCAGAGAGTGAGGCCAGGCAGGGGCAGCCCTGACCTTGCCCCTGAACTCTAGGTAGCAAATCATCATTGCAAACCCAGCACATCTAACCCAGGCTCCTGGTCTCCATTCACACACACACTAGCCCTTTACGCCACCCAGCAGGAGCCCATCCTTCCAGCTCCACAGGCCACACTCCCTTGGCATCACCGATTCCTCTCCCACCCCACCATCCAGTCCTCCCATAGACCCAGAATGAACCCTCACACACTTCCATGGCCGCCCCTGCTTAGAGCCCCACCCTGCTGGCCAGGTCGCTAGTAAGGCAGGTGATCACCCAACCTTGGACCTCAGTGGCATACTCACTGAGTGCCATGCCCTAGGCTACATCATTTCATCTTCATGACAACCTTGTGAGGTGGGTACAATTATAGGCCTCATTTCATAGATAAGGAAACTGAGGCAGGAAGCAAAGGAGCCGGGCAGCTTGGCTTCTGGGCCTGAGCATTCAAGAGCCCTGCTCTGTAATCTCACAAGTGGACAGGGCCTGTTTCCTTCCTGTGCCCAGCATCTGGCACTCAGGGGCACTTAGCAAATGTCTGCTGGTGACCCAGAAGGAGCAAGAGTAGGCGGCAGGCTAGATGGAGGAGGGCGGGTGTGTAGATAGAAGGTGGGGTCAGGGCAACTTGAGCTCCCAGCCCTTAGCCCAGTACCCACCTCTCACCCTCCCACTAAAGCCGTACCTCTCTGAAGAGGGCTCCATAGAAGGTGACAGTGTAGAAGCAGTCGACTGTGCGCATGTTGACATCCAAGTCCATGAGCAGACGCTTCTGCTCCTGAGAGTTCACGGTGGCCCGGATCCGCTGCAGGTGAGAGGCTGTAGTTAAGGAGCCATGTGGCACAGGGCGAGCAAACCACTGTCCCTTATATGAGGGCCAGGAACTCTGAGGGGCACCCACAGACCCCACATCTCCTCCAGGCTGCCTCCCGGGTATCACCTGGCCCAGGGCTCCCTGGCAGTGTGGGACCCTGCTTACCTTAACAGCCATGATGGTGCCGCTCTGGGCATGCCGCACCTTCTCCACCACCCCATAGGCTCCACGCCCCAGCTCCGAGATGGTCACTAGGTCATCAGCCTCTACCTCAAAATTCTTGAGGGACAGAAAAGAGAGAGGGTTGATGCCAAAAATCAGGAGCTGTCCCTAACACCTCATTCAATGGAGATAGCTGGGGCAGCAGAAAGAGAAGATGGCCAGTTAGTCAGATATGGGCTCAAATCCTGCACCACCTCAAATCCTGCTGTGTGACCTGGAACAAGTCACTTAACCTCTCTGAGCCTCACCTCACCCTCTATAAAACAGGTACCAATATCCAAGGGCTGTTGTGAGGTATAACTAAGATGCCCCAGCAGGCACAGGTAGCTCAAGAGATGGATGCACTTTCCCTCTTGCTCCACCCCCTCTACTTTCTGAGCACCTACTTTGTGCAAGTCCTTGTTTTAGGCACTAGGGACACAGAGAGAACAAGACAATGGCCTTACCCTCACAGTGAGCAGTGTGGCCCAGGGCCACCTACTCTCTCTCTTGCCCTCTATTAAACGAGGCAAGCAAAAAGGAATAAGCGAACAGATGAACTGGACATCAAACAGTGATAAGTGTCAGGTAGGAAAAATTAGCCTAAGAGGGGCTGTCAGCCGAGGAGAGGCCTCCAGAATGAGATCTCTGCCTGAAGCCCCTCAGCATGTCTGCCCCTCAGCAAACGCTGAGCCAGGATTCTCAGTCCCTCCTGCCCAAGCCATTGGAGGTGCATATGGAATGCAGGTTCCCATGTCCTAAGGGTAGGGCCAAGAGTCTGCATGTTCCACACACTGTTCCCACAGGTGATACGGGCACAGGTGGTCAAACTCTGAGGTCAGGACACTCACCAGGGCCCCATGAGGCAGACCACTGTCCCCATTCTAGATGGAAGGCCCAGGGTCACACAACCAGCATCCAGGGAACGAGGCTCCTCTCCAAAGCCCAGTTCTGTCCGACACCCACAGCTACCTCCCAATGGCCCTACAGGGTCAGCTTGGCCCAATGTCAGATGAAGACACCAAGGCTCAGAAACATGAAGGCCATGCCCCAAGCTGCAGCCAGCACCTACCCTGTCTCCAATGGTGATGAAGGTCCGGGAGTCCAGGTTCCGCGGAGGGCTGCAGGGAGAAAGCAACCCTGTAAGCCTCAGAGAGAACCACACCCTGCCCCTGAGAGGAGCAAACCAGGCTGGCACAGGGACCAGAGGCAAGTCCCGTCCCTGAGAGGTGGCACTCCTCAAGGCACCTCATCTCACTCACTAAGCATCTGCTGTGCCAGGCACAAGGTGTCTCTCTTTCCCATCTCTGAGACGGGGCAAGAAGGGGCACAGAGCAAATGCACAATGCCTAGAAGCCCCCATGGCCACCCGGCTCTGCTCACAGGAGACACTGCCTGGGGCACACTTCCCGCTGCTTACTCTGTTCCAGGAAGCCTCTCCAGGCTGAGTTAGGGGAGAAACTGAGGCAGACTCACGTGGGGTTGGGCATGGCCGGCTTGGACATGCAGGATATCCGTAAATCCTTCTTCCTCTTGGATTTTCCTAAAAGGGAGAGACAGTGAGGTGTCTGTGAGACAGTAAGTTTCTGTGAAGCTCCCCCAGTCTCTGGTGCTTTATTCTGGCAGCCCCAGCAAACTGATACAGACAACCTCCTCCACTGTGGCGCTAACCTTGGTGGGGGCATCTGAGGCAGACAGATCTCCTTTTGGGTCCCAGCTCTGCTGCCCACACCTTCTCTGAGCCTCAATTTCCCCAGCTCTCACCTTAGAATACAAATGCCCACCTCAGAGGTGGCTGGGAAGCGTGGAGGGAATGCAGGCTGGGAGACCTGACTGAAACCCCTGGGGTGCCCATTTCTCTTCCACCTCCATAGTTCTTGCCTTTGCTAATCCTTCCAAGGACACCTCAGGAAGCCAGCTTCCCTTTCAGGGCACAGGGCTGGCCTGAGTTCCAAGGTAGCGCCTCCCTCACCCTCACCCTGAGGATGGGTGAGGGGCTTGGTCTCTCAGAGCCCCAGTGTGGCTGAGCTCCATCTCTCTCAATCTAGCTGAGCGTGGCCAGGTGCCGGCACGCGGCTGGTGCTAAAGAAGACTCAGCATTATAGAGCGCTGGACATAGCTCGGGCTGGCATGGCAAAGGGGGCTTTCACTAGAGCCACCCTTTAAAGGCGCAGCGTCACCTCACAGGTGGGAAAGCAAGGTTCAGAGTTATCAGGGAGCCCATCGGTGAGAAGAGAGGTGGGCTTGAGTCTGCAGCTCCTGCTCCCAAGCACCCAGATGAGGGGCTCCATTTTCCAGAGAAGGGAAGTGACTTGCCCAGGTCACTGAGTATGTGAGTGGCAGTGCTGGGACTCAACCATGACTCCCTAAACCACCCACAGCAGGAATGGTGCCTCCCAACTGTCTGCTCCTGCAGGAAAGTCTTTCCTGCCACCTGCTCCACCCTCCCAGCCCACTGCCACTGATAAGGCACTCTGGCTACCAGGGAACTAAGAACCGCCTGAGGCTCTGCTGCCACCTGCCATGGGTGGGCAGGAAGCACTGGGAGACCCCAGTCCCAAACCCACCTCTGAACCAGGTTCAAATCCAGCCTCTTCCATGCCCCACTGTGCAGTCTCAGTACCTCATCTGTGAACCTGGCATAGGAGGCCCACACTCTCAGGCCCAGTAGCCAGGCTGCCTGGCAGCACTGTCAAGTGATGGGATGGGGCTGGAACTGTCACTGGGAAGATGAAGCCCAGGCCCAGCTGTCCCTGGAGCAGATGAACCTCCAGGAAACAGAACAGTCCGGTGGGGATGGGTCCCAGTGTCTGTAATAAGGTGAGTGGGCAGAGCTCAGCAGACACCTGCAGCCTCTCCACAGAAGCTACCCCAGGAATCCCCAGATGTCAGGCCAAAAGCATGGGCTTTCTGTCCCAAGTTGAAATCCCACCTTTGCCCCTTACAGGCTGGGTGACATCAGGCAACTACCCATGCCTCTCTGAGCCTCAGTATTCTCATCCATGTGATGGGGATAAAAACAGCACCTGTTTTATAGAGTTACTGAATAAAGCAACTTATAACAGCACTCGGCCTGCACCTGCCCAGGGCCTGACCTGGAGGCTGCAGGAAACAAGTTTCCACAAATAGTACTAATAACAGCAGCAGCAGCTGTGCTTGCTGGGCACCCACCATTGGCTCCCCTGGCACTGGGGTGTACCAGTCATCTAATCACAGCCTTGCATGTGAGGTGTTCTCAACCCATTCTACAGAAGAGGCAAAGTGGCTAGTTGTCAGGGGCTGGGTGGGTCTCACTCCCAAGCCCTCATCCATCAAAGCAGCAGCCTGTCGGTCACACGCATGGCCCTTTCCAACTATTTCAGATGCTCCACAACCTAAGGGAGGAGACCTTAGCTTCACTTTACTTGGGGAAACTGAGGCTCAGAGGTGAAGCAACTGCACAATGAGTCAGTGTTCTGGCCCGGGAGGGACCCCTGGAATTGCTGACTTGGAGACCCCAATGGGCCAGGCCAGCGGCTCATAGGACCCCCTCCTTCAGGGAGCTCCTCCTTATGGCCGGAGGGACAGTCCTTCTCCAGGACCTAGCACATTTCTACACAGTAAGAAGAAAACGGAAAAGCTGAGGCATGAAGGGCCGTCAATTCCCGAGGCCAGTTCTGTGCTGCCCCTGGGTCAGACTAGGTTAACACTGACCTCTGGGGTAGGGACACAGGCCCTGGGGTGGAGGCTGCTGGCCAGGTCAGTGCTGCCAACACTGCATTAGGCATGTGGCAGCCTAGGAAAGTCCAACTTTGTACCCCGCTGAGACCTTGCATAGTACCCTCCTCTCTGCACCTTAGGTTCCAAATCTGCAAAAGAGTTGCTTGGAGAAATGTGCACCTGCCCAACAAGGCAAGGTCTCACCTTCGAGGCATTCAGCGTAGAGCCTGGCACACAGTAGGTGGTTCTATAATGGACCAGAAATGGTCACCATAGTTACTATTGACCTCGCCACAGAGGGGAGAAATTTCATCCTAAGTAGTGAGAATTATAACTACATTTTATTCTTGACTTGATGCTTTTTATAACTAGAAGGTAAAATATTTTATGTTAAAATTTAACGGCCCAATTGGGGTTCTGCTGGAGCTCACAGCCACGCCCCTCCCGCAGTACTCTGCTCTTGGCCCCATCGAACCTTCCCCTAGCTCTAGCCTGCACACACATCTCCGGCCCTGGGATTTGAGAATGTCGTCAGATAGGCTCCCCCTCACTAAGCTTCTGTTTCCCCATATATCAAGGGAGCTTCCAATCCTGTGGCCAGGTCAGGTGGGTGAGGACGATGTGAGAAGGCATGAGGCACTCAGTGAAAGTGGAGTTCCATCTGCCTATGGAGGGACAAAGGCTGCTGAGAGCATGGGCTGCGCAGGTGGGACTGTGGTCCTGGCCTTCTTGCTCATCTGCTTGTCAAGGTCACCAGGCCTACGTCCGAAGTGACATGGGCTCCATGCAGTAGCCGTGCCAGCTGTGGGAGACAGTGGGTGAGGCCACCATAGAGACAGCCCAGAAACAGGTCGCAGGCTGCCAGCTGCTACCGCTGTCTGCCACAGACGTCAGCACTGGGCCCAGATGGCCAGGCAGCCCAGGGCTGCCCAGGTGCAGGCCCATTGTGGCAACCGTCACCACAACAAACAGAGGTTCATAGGCCACCACTGGCAAATCACAACAAGCCCGCCAGCCTCGGCTTGCAGGGCCTCCAGCGCAGGCGGGCACAGCGCCAGGCATCTGTGTGTCCTTGGCCCGCACCAGCCTCCCAGGAGTACCACAGGCCGGGAACAAGGAATTTAGCCACTGACCTGAGATACAGACAGTAAAGAGAAGTGCCCTAGACTTGGACACAACTCCCACCATGGTGTCAGCCCTGCCTTAATCCCCTCCCACTCACCATTCCTTGAATAAGCCACCTTCTTTCCCACCTCAGGGCTTTTGCATGTTCTGTTCTCTCTGCCTAGAATGCTCTTCCCTGTAACTTTGTCCTAGTTGATATATAATTCTCACCTTTCACCTACTCAGAGAGGCTCTCCTGATTGCTCCAGCTAAGCCCCCTTCTTACTGGCTCTTCCTCGTGTCCAGCTGGCTTCTTTTATGTCACTTCTCACAAGTCACCATTCTGTAGTTACTGTCTGAGAGGCAGCTAGCAAATGCTTATGAGGATTGAGTGGAGCCAGGCAACCTGAATTCAAATTGCATCTCAGCCACTGCTTAGCTGTGTGGCCTCAGGCAAGTAACTTAACCTCTCTGGACATTATAGACTCAACTGTGAAATGGGGATAACGAACCAACCTCCCAGGGTTATCAGGAACGTACAATGAGGTTATCAGTGTCATGCCTGAGCAGTGCCTGACACGTGGAAGATTAGACTGAGCCACTTGGGTACTGGAAAACCAAAGTACCCAAGATAATGCCAGGCACTCAGCCCCAGGCAGCCATTCTGTTAATACTCTCAGCAGCCCCGTGAGGGAAGTGTTTTCTCATGTCTGTTGTTCCAAGTGGTTCAGAGAGGAGAGGACTTGATGGAGGTCACACAGTGAGTGTCTGGTAGGAAGCAGACAGGAAGATAGGTCTGTCTGGCTCCAATGACCAAACATCAACAGAAAGCCTGAGAGAGGACCTCCCTAACCCCTGCTTCCACCCCTGCCCCAGGGCCTCGGGGAGATTCTAAACAGACTGGTCTGTGCCACTCTCTCTCAGGTCCATCATGGGGACAAGAGAGGGGGGTGGGAATGTGACAACCCCTCTCCGTGGACCCTGCCAGGCCCTACACTCACAAAGAGAGCCCCCCACACCACGTCGCAATGTCGCATTCAATCCTATCCCACAGTTTCCGATAACAAGAGCAATACTCCCAATTTATTATTCTCACTCCCTACTTTTGAGTATTTGGAGTGCTTTTCCTGATATCTGATTCCACTAGGAGGTCCTGGGTCCTGAGTGTCTGGGCCCATCAGATAAAGAACTATGCGCTGCCATGGAGATGTGGAAGGCCAGATGTCCAGAGGCTCCTCATGTCCCTTCACAGTCTCTGCCCCACTCATCTGGTCACCTCTGTCCTGTGGGAGTCCCTTAGAGAAACCAACTACCCATTCCCATTGCACAGTAAAAACTGAGGCCCCAAGAGGGGAGGGACAGGCTTTTAGGTAGGCAGTGGGCTCACCTGGACAGCTAACGTTTGTTGGCTTTGACAAGCCAAAGCCGGTGCCCAGCACTTGACATTTATTATCTGCTTACTATAGTCATCACACTAGCCCCACCAGGGTGAGGCACTCAGAGCACCCAGATCACAGAGAGCACCACTGAGACTCAGAGCCGTTAAGCAGGAGCAGCAAGGACATGCAATCAGGCCCACATCTGTCTGAGGCTGGAGTCCCTGCCCCATGGTATCTCCTCTCAGAGTCCCCTAGGGAGCTTTCAGGGGCCACTGCAGTCAAGCATTGGCGGGGAGCAAGGACAGATCTATCTTCCCCAGGTAGGCGCACCCTTTCCCGGAGGTCCTGGAAGAGGCGAAGGGTACTCTTGTTTACTGAGCGCCTATATGTGCCACACTTGGCACCTGCCACAAGCATCTGTACCGTAGCACACAGTGAACAACAGGCTGGACTGGGGGCAGCGCTCAACTCTTGGGCCCTGCCCTCTCTCCTCCCAGCTGTGTGGTGGCCAAGCCCTAGCCTCCGAGGCCCTTGGCACTCTGCTCCTTGTCCCTCTACCTCTGAAGACTTTCTCATCTGCAGGGGAGGATCCTGTGCCTGCCCACCTTGTGGCACTCACCCCTTCTGCAATGAGCAGACAGGGCCCTGGACTATGCTCCAACCATGGACATGTGGTAATGTCTGAGGACATTCTGACGGCCACACTTGGGAGCTGTTGCTGGTATCCAGTGGGTAGAGGCCAGCGATGCTACTCCATAACCCACAATGCACACCCAGCCCCCACAACAGAGAATAAATCCAGCCCTGCAAAAATGGCTGACCACAAAACAATGAACTAACAAAGTCAGTGTGTATAATGTTTACACAGAATGCTAAGTGCTCTGAAGAGAAAGGAGGCAGGACACGGGGACCTCTCCGAGGTGAGATCTGAGCAGAGAATAACTTGGGCATGAGGAGGCGGCCATGGAAAGCTCTAGAGAAAAGATAGTTTAAGCACAGGGGATAAATGCACAGGCGCCTGGGCCAGGAGGAAGGGAGGGAAGGGGAGAGGCTGCGGTCAACCAGGGGACACAGAGGACAGCTTGAGGCTGCCTCCTTGGTGCTGGTGGCTGTGTGGGCTCACAGGGCCACCCCTCTGGAGGGTGACTCAGTACTATTCAAATGCCCCATTGACTCAAAAATCCTACCTCAAGGAACTCACCCCTAAGATACATCTCCCATAAGGTAAAAAGAATAAAAAGCCACTGACATTTTGTGAGCACCCACTGTGTGCCAGGCCTGTGCTAAGCGTTGAATCACATCCCATTTGATACCTTCAGCAACCCCAAGAGGCAGGGATGACAGGGATCTCCCCCTTTTATAGATGAGAACACTGAAGCCGAGGGTTTATAAAATCAAGAGCCTGGTACCTGGAGTGGTGAGGGTCCGGTGGGCCCCCGTCAGGACAGCAGGACAAGCACTCTTTGTGGTGACACGGAGTTGAGTCCCAGGCACAGTGGGAGGAAGCAAGAGGAGGAGAGTATTTGTGACAGAAAAAAAAATGCTGATCTTTTCACAGAAGAGTCCAGGCGCTGCAAGAAACTATCTTCTTGTATCACTTTGAGATTCCTAACCACATGTAGTACCAGCTACTGGACTGTAAGTAATTTAAATAAAATAATAAGAAAAGCCCTATTTAAACTACATGTCCTGGGCTGCTGTGGGTTTGGGACACAGCATCCCCCTCCATCTAAAGGGGGCAGCCAGGGTCACTGGCATCCTTCCTAGGGGCTCCCAGCAGCAGAGCCTGCTCAGAACTGGATGGTGTCTCAGAGACAGAGACTGTCGAGTGAAGATCCTGGGCCAGAGGCCTGGAGACTCGCCTAGGGTTACACACCAGGGCAGCAGCACAGCCAGGACTCAAACTCAGGCCCCAAACTCCTGTGCCAGTGCTTCTCCCAGGGCCACCAGATCCTGGCTCCTCATGCCTCAGCTGTGGCCATGACAGCATCTCCAAAGCCACTCTGGCAGAAGCCAACAGAAAGTGAAGAAGGACAGGCTTTGGCATCAGGATACTGGAGCTGCTGTGTGACCGTGGGCAAGCCACACCCTCTCTCTGAACCTGTTTCCTCCCCTGACATTCTACGGGAGTACAGTGGCCTTGACCTCCAGGAGAGAATGAGCACTGGTCAAAGGTTGTTAAGACAAAGTCACACTCCCAGGACAGATCTGTGTGAGCTCAGGTAGTCACGCCCCCACTCTAGGCCTGTGTACTCATAAAACTCTGATGGATACACACGCACGTTGCTGGGTAACCATGAGGGGTGCTGAATGAGATCCTGTGTATAAAATGTCTGCCACAAAGCGGGTTGGCTCAGTAGCCACCCTGGCACAAATGCCCCTATTACTGAGGTGGATCCACAGAGGGGAAGGAGGGACTTCAGAGGGCAGGGTGGGCCCCCAGACAGCAGGGTGAGCCCCCAAAGGGCCGGGTGGGTCCCCAGACTGTGGAACCCAAGTTCCAGGCTTCAAGAAGTTAATGACGAGAGGGATGCTCCCTGAGTGACACCAACCTTCTAAGAGCCTCAGGAAAACGGGGCCCTCCTGGTGCTTGGGCTCAGGGGATGAGTTCCCATAGGTCTCCATGTGAGGCCAGTGTGAGGTCACCCAGGCCACCTTGGACACTGATGACACCATGCTCCTGCTTGGGAAAAATGTTCATAGAAGCACCTTTCTTTAACAAATGGCATTCTTGCTTTTATTATCATTAGTATCCAAACCGAATCTTATAATCCATGGGGTCGATGGAGCAAAATACCTAAAAAGGTATTCTTGGTGATAAAAACAGTAATACGTAGCTCAGGTGCAAATGCAGCACTGACTGGGCCCCTGTGGTATCCATAGACTTGACAGATCTCATTGTTTCTCACCCTCAACAGTGGCCTGAGATGTGGGTGTTTTTATTCCCATGGGTCACATGAGAACTTGGGTCACGTGAGACTCAGGAGGTCACAAAGGGAGCTGGGGCAGAGCTGGGAGTACAATCAGCTCCTCCCACCTGGAAGCCCTCCAGGCCCACCCATCCAGGCCCAGCCCAGACATAGCAGGAGGGGTTGGTACAGAGCCATCAGGGGCAGGGCAACAGCTGGGAGAGGGGCAGATGAGAACTTAGGGCAGCCCCTGGAATGCCTGCTCAATCATGACACCCCAGAGAGAGACACTCAGGGCAGGAGGAGGGTGACAGCGGCCTGTGCCAGGACCAGGGGAAGGGGAGGAAAGCCGCTTCAGGATGAGTCTGGTGACCCTGTCCGGAGTTGGATTTGGCCCCAAACTTGGTGTCTGGGAGCTGCAGAGGGGCCTACCAGGCTGCCACTGCAACTGCTGGTGGAGGCATCGACAAAAGTAGCTGGGCAAGCAGGCCTGACTTACGTGGGCAATGCTAAGAGGCTGCGACCCTCACCTCCTGGAGCTCAGCAGGCCAATCTTATCACCCTACCTGGCTGGGATGGGGCTCAGTGTGGCATCCACCATGCTGCTCCCCAGTGTTCTTTCTCTGGGACCAAATAATGACAAGGCATCCCTCAGGTCTACCCCACCGTCCACTGGCACCCCTGGCCTTGGGTCTCGACTCTCAGAACCACTATTCCCAAGGCCTCCTGTTTTCCAGGTGGAGCTGAGAGTCAGGGCACTCCTCGCTCAGCCCTGTATCGCTGCAGCCAGCACATCCCTGACACTAACGAAGTTCTACCAATTGAGGGCCTGGCCTAGGAGGCTCCCATACTCCTGATTCCCCATTCCACACCTCCCCATGCTTTGGGAACTGAAGCACCCAGTTCTCTGTTCCCCATGGGTCCTCCCCAGGAAGGTCCAAGAGGCAATGGGAGCCCTCAGCTCTTGTGGACCAGTAGGGAAAGAGACTGGTACATTCTGGCTGGCATTACAGGACCCTGCAACCAGAGAATCCTCGTGTCACGGAGCTTACAAGTCCATCATCAGAGGTCCTGGTTCAGTTTATTCATCTACCAATAAACAACTGGCATAACCATAACATTAAGAAAATAATAACAGATGCCATTCGTTTGACAAACACTATCTCCAATCTTTACCACCACCCTGCAAGAGAGGGGTGTTTACTCCCACTTTACAGATAGGAGACTGAGGGTCAGAGAGGGCATATGAGGAAGTTAGTAAGCAGTAGAGCGAGTCAGAATTCAAATGCTGGCCCATCCACCCCCCAAGCTCAGGATCTGTCCCCACTTCTTGTCCTGTCAGGCTCTTTGTGAGCAGAGGACAGTCTTGCTGAGCCCAGTACCTGACCCTTAGCAAGAGTGGAATGAGTTTGTCTGCATCCATCCTTATGGCTGCCAGCAAGACTGGCAGCTGGGGTCCCCACTCCCATTCTGCAGGTAAGGAAACCAAGGCCGCTCATCCAAAAGGTGGGCCACGCCTAGGGGATTGAAATCATTGACAGAGTGTAGTGAATGTACCATGCATAACTTGTCCCACATCACACAGCAAAAGGGGCTGAGCTGGGATTTGGCTACAGTCTTCACCTCTCCCTACCCCTGTCTTCCCAAGCTCAGGCGAACCCTGCACCACCTCTGGTCCTCAGCCTCCAGAGCCCCCAGCATTGCATCTGAGCCTGAGGAGCCCCTGGGCCAAGAGCAGTGAAAAGCCGTCACCAACTGTTCCTGCTCTGTGAGCAAGAGGAAGCAGGGCAATTGCCTAACAGAGGAAGTTCCTGGGTGGGGCGGGCACAGGGCCAAGAGGGCCTGCCCGGGGGTCCCAGCCTAGTCTGAGGTCCAAGAAGGCGGTCGCCTCCAGTGCCCAGCTCAGAGCCAGATGCCAACCTGTGAGGCTGGGGCTCCCAGTTCCTTCTCACCCACCAGCTGGCAGGCTATCACCCCTTTAAGCAGACAGCCGGTTGGCATGCCCAGCGGGTGACTCAGCGCCCAGTGCTGGCTGACTCATCTACCGGAAGCCTCCTGCTGCCCTGGCTTTCTCCCCACACAGAAAACTGAGAACTTTGATCCCTTCAGGCCCCGAGCCACAGGCTGGCTGATAGTTTCCTGTGCGTCACGCCAGGGGTGGGGGAAGTCCCCAAGGTGCCACCCTCCAGTCTTTCCAACAGCTGGGAAGGGACAGGACTTGTGGGAGGGGGAGGTAGAGGCAGGGCATAGGCCATGGCCAGCAAGGCCAACACACAGGTAGTGCTTCTTGTAGCCTCAGTGTTCCATCAGGCAGCTGGGAGCAGCCTGAAGATCAACCGTAAGTGCCTGCATGGTTAGCACTCAGGTATAGTAGGGGCAGTGATAGGACATGTGTGGCGCCCCCAAGGACAAAATGTGGTTTGAGGCAGCAGACCCAGACCATGCTGACCAAATGTGCTCCTGCTCGCTGGCCTCAGTGTCAGCTGCCCTTGGCCTCTGACCCCAGCCAAAGATGGCAAGTGGGCAAGGAGGCCAGGAAAAGCCAGCAAGACTGTGGGGCCTGGGGCCTCGAGCACTCATGGAAAACTCCCTTGGCCATTGGGATGGAGGATGAGGCAGGGCACCCACTGCAAGGCAGGAGGCCCAAAGGTAAAGTTTCCTTAAGGTCAAGTGCCAAACATACCCTGCTTTGTTCAAATTCCTCTGAGGAGCCAGAGAGGAGCATAACACTGGGACCCTGTGCCAGGATGGGGAGGGTGCAGGTGAGCATCCAGCTCTGTGGACTCAGTCCAGCCACCCCCAGGTCTGACTTGGGTTTTGCCATCTGTCAAATGGGTGGGACTGCAGTGATTATGAAATGTGCCAACTGTAAAGGGCTGTGCACGCAAGAGGTATCACCTCTGGCTTAGTCTGTCCTCCAGGTTGGGCATGGACTGGAGGAGACACCTACTGGACACAGGGGTAATGGGGCGAGGGGAGTGTCCCACCAGCTGAGCCCAAGCATCCAGCACAGGAATGGAGGAGCACTAGGAAGGCCTTTGGAGACACACAGTCCTGGGTGGAACCCTAGCTCCATCTGTCGTCACAGCTGTGTGACCTCAGGCAAGGCACTGACCGCCGTTGAGTCTCAGTTTCCTTGTCTGTAAATGGGGCTGTGATAAATAAGAGGTCATGGCACATGGAAAAAGCTTGAGAAGTGGGAACTCTTGGGATGTTTGGTGAGGGGGCATTGTGGATCCCTCACCACATCCTTTCACAGACCCTAAAGAAGATGAGAGGGTCCCTGGGCCTTGGGGAGACCACTGGCCCTCTGTCCAACCCACCCAACATCAACTGTTACCTGAACTCACAAACTGGAAATTCAACCTGGTCCTTTCTCTGCAGAGAGGCTCAGCGAGGGCAATTCAAGTCACAAAGGGGGATCAAGTAGTGTCTCCCCAAAGTGCTTTTTCCCTTTACACCCATGCCCGCTCACCTTTCTCAACCTTGCAACTTTAACTTTTGTATTGATGAGGCCTTCCCTGCTTGGAAGAACTGATGAAAAGGCCTTCAACAACAAACACTGATTTCAACCTCTTCCTTCTGCCCATGAAAACACAGTGGCCCAGAGAGATTGAGGGATCTGCCCTAAGTCCCACTACACTGACCAAGCCAAGCCTAGACCCTGGGCTGGAGAAAAGAAGTGTCTGGTTTCCCAGTTCTCTAGAGTAGAGCTTATGATTTCTTGGTTCTCAAACTCCATAAGGCCTGTGCAGTGCAAGTCCCTCCACAGTCACCTCCCCACCTCAAGTGCCTCCTGAGTTACCCACAGTGGTTGGGCAATGGTCAGGGATCCGACCTCCCACTTACCTAAGCCCACCCAGCGGCTGGGCTCTGGCTCACAGCCACCACAGCCCCTCCCCAGGACCCCACATACCCTCCTATTGCCCGGGACTCTCCAGAGAAAAAGAGGTAGGGACAACTTCTAATTAGGGGCCCACTAAGTGCAAGCTATTACCTTTCTCCCCTCACCCCAACTCTGCAGCTGCAACCCAAGCAGATGCAAGGCCTTGACCCCACATGGCTGAGCCCTGTCCAGCAAAAAAAAAAAAAAAAAAAAGGGTAACAATAACAGGACTGCACTGCTTAGTCCTTCCTAAGCACCTACTATGCACGAGGCACCGTACTGAGGTCTTCATCTCATCACCCACACTTGCTGAAAACTCTTTAGTAGTCACTATTTCACATCACATTCCAGAGTCCACAGAAGGTAGGTGCAATTACTCCCATTTTACAGATAAGGAAACTGAGGCCCAGTGACACTCTTGCTGCTGCTGGGGTGAGGCAGCCTACTCATTACAGCTATGTCCGGTTTGGAAATCTCTCACACAACCCAGCCTGCTGAGACACCAACATGCCAAAAACATCCTTTCCTCTTCCTGAAAAAAAATCCCCCTTCCACCCTCCAAGTCTCATCCTCCCCCACTCCACATGACAAATTCTGCTGCCACCGCAGCTGCCACCTCATAAAAATTTCCAGGAAGGCCGGCTACTTGGAGAAGACAAGAGTAAGCCCATTGCACAGCTAGCACCCTGAGCTGGCAGCTGGCCCAGGACCCACAGACAGCAGAGACAGGCCTGGTAGCAATCAACTCTGGAGACACTGGGGCGCAAGGGAGGGTGAGCTACCTAAGTGCAGAGAGAAGCATGCAAGTCATGACAAGGAGGAGCCCGTGGAGAGAGGGCTGTGCGTTAGGGTGGGGTGGGAGGCCGAGAACGGTTCCCAGGGGACAGGGCTGCAGGCCGGGATGCAGGATGGCCAGGGATGGGCCAGTGTGAGGCCCACAAGGATGGCAAGAGTTGGGGGAGAGGATAGGGAGTTCTGAGCTGGACTGTAGCCAGGGCAACCCACGGAGGGGGGCTGGGAGGTTACAGTGAGATTCCCCAGCAGGGAAGCACCGCTGGGGCCCAAATGGGGAGTCAGTCAAATCCCTGGATACAGCCCTGGGACCCAGGAGTGGAAGGGTGCAGGATCAGAGTGAATCCCACCTGGGTTCAGCTCAGAAACTCAGACTGGGAGAATTCCTATCCAGGGTGCAATTCAGGTCTAAATGACAAGGTCAGAGTGAGGTTCCTGACCTAAAGCGGGATGATCAGAACGAGATTCTAGTCTGAGTTCAGGCCTGGGTGCAGTCCTAAATCGGAGGTCCAGGTGAGGTCCCAGGCTGGGATCCAGATCCGAATAGAGAGGGGTTGTGGGCCGGGATGTTGCGTGGGTCCGGGACGGGTTGGGATGGGATCACGCAGAGGTCGCAGTGCGCAGCCTGGGCCCGGATTGGGCGCGGGGGTCAAGCCGCGGTCCCGGCCGGCCGCTCCTACCTTTAGACTGGGGTATGCCACCAGGCTGGCTCGAGGCGGGCGACTCCATGGTGCAGGCGGGTCCGGGGGCGACGGAGGAGACTAATCTAGAGGGCTGCGGGCTCGACCTGGGCGGAGCGCGCTCATGGCTGCGGGCAGGGGGCCCGGGTGCGATGGAGGAGTAAAAGCGGGTGGAGCAGTGGCAGCAGCGACAAGGACGCGTCCGCGACGGGCAGCGCCGGAGCCAGACTAGGGCAGCGCCGCCGGGGCCCCGGACGGATGGCGCCGGCGCAAGCCCCGCCCCCACGCGTCGATTGGTCTTCCAGTCTCCAGGGCCCGTCCCCTGCCTATCAAACGCTGGTCTGACACTGCCTGTCAAACACAAGCCTCGCCCTCTGCTGGCCTGGAATCCGGCTCCTCCCACTGTCTGTTAAGCCAGTCCAGCACCCGGGAAACCAAAGCCCAATGAGGCTCCGCCTCCTCCTAGGTTTGTGCTCTGGCCTACACAGTGCCTATCCAGACGCGATGCTGGCTCACTGCCGCCCATCCGCCAAGCCCACCTCACACCTGTCGGGCTTTAGTCCCGCGCGGCACCCCCGCACCCCGAGCCCGCAGCGCCCCGCAAGTGCGCCTTGTGGGCCCGCCCCAGGTGCGTAATCTGGAGAAGAAAACCTAGATCCCCTAGAGTGGCCTAGCTGGGGCCCCAGGAAGCCGGAAGGAAGGTAGAGTGCTGCGGAGGGGTTAAAAGTGCGCCTGGGTTCTGATACCGACTTGGCTATTTTCTAGCGGTGACCTTGGGCAACTCAGGTAACCTCTGAGCTTTAGTTTTCGCCTTTATAGAAGAGCGACGGTAACAGCCCTGCCTCCTGGCTCAGCTGATGAGAAACGGACCGGGCTTTCACGGTCACTGCGTTTATTGACTGAATGTTCGAAAGGGCTTAGCATAATGCCTGGCATGTGCGCCTTCATTCCGTTTCAGCAGCTATCCACTGAGCGCCCGCTGTGCATCAGGCGCCGTGACCTGTGGGGATACAGTGGTGAGCTTGATGGTACCTAGTGAGAAGCCAATTAAGGAGCTTTAATGGTTGTATCGCTGCTGTCCCCTATTCTACACATGGGGAAACTGAGTCTCAATGAGAGTAAAATATCATTTCAATGAATTTTACTCCAGTCGGTAAGCCTTGATAAAGGTCTCATCCTGGCTGTCTCCTGGGCCTTTGGTTCTCTCCTCTCCTCTTGGGGCCTCAGTCTCATCTGTATAATGGCCAGATGGGCCAATACTCCCTTCTGCTCCCACATAGAGGCTTGGTGCATTTCAGGAGCCACTGACCAATCTGGTGCTGGGATCAAGAGACTATTGAAAGCCATGGGCCAGTGAGGGCAGGAAGTACCTGGCAAAGGTCAAGGGGTCAGCTCCTTGCCTCCAGGCAGGCATGAGTGTGTGGCCTGCCAGGGACTTCACGTGATGGAAGCAGATTCCACCATGTGCTAGAAACTCTTGGTGCACGGGGCTGACCTCTGCTTGCCCATTAGTAAAAACAGGGGTGATCCCTGCAGAGCCCCACCCACACAACGATGGGGAGAGACAGACGAGATAAGGGGGGAGCCCTTATAATTATCATTATTCTCTTTCTGCATCTCTTGCTCACCCTTTCCAGGCAGCGGGTAGAAAGTCATGAGCTTTGGACTCAGAAAGGTACAGATTCTACTGTCAACTCGGCCACTTACTAGAAGTCACTGAACAGCTCTGTGCCTGTCACATGGGGACAATGAGACCTCTCTAGAATCATTTCATGAGCTCAGGCTTGAGAGTGCCTGGCTCAAGGCTTGGCACTTATTAAATACCCAGGAAATGTCTGTAAACACACCGTGGGCCACCTCCTACAGGAAGCCATGCTGGCCTTACCACTCCTAGGTGTCTGGAGTAGCCCAGAGCATTGTATCCCAGATGGGTCATGTGACCTTGGGCCAGTCATTTCCTCTCAGGACCTGCTGCTTATCCATCTCTAAAATGGGCGCCCAGCAGCAGCTACCTCCCTACCAGTACGGTAAGCCTGGCCCAGTGGGTTTTTTGGGTTCAGGCCCCTGCCGACCGCTTGGACTTCCATTCCTCCCATGCTTTTCTGCTCTTTGCTATGTTCAAGGGTCTTAATCCTGCCTCAGGGCCTTTGACTTTGCTATTTCCTCTGCCTGGAACATCTTTCCCCCCTACCTTCCCACTATGATTCCTGGGGCTGGTTCCCTTTCATCCTACAGGCCTCCTCTTAAATGAACTCCCCTAAGAGGCCTTCCCAGTCATACTCCAGATTGGTCTTAATTCTCTGCACAGCATTCGTGCCACCAATGCCTTTCTTATTTACTGTTTTTAATCTGGCTCTTCTTCTAGACTGTCGGCCCCTCCTGGCCAGGAATCTTGCCAACTCACTCTCTGCTGCATTCTGATGCACAGCCCACAGCCTACCACATAGTAGGTGCCTAATAAATATTTGAGGAATGAACAAAGGAAGGATGGAAAGCATGCCTCAGACATCGATGAAACGACTCTAGTCCCATGCCAGCCTCCCAGGCGCCCATATGACTCAGACAAGGCCCTCCAGTTGGAGGAGTTGACAAGGTTAGTTAGGAAGCCTGACAGACAACTCAAGAATCACAAAACTCCATTGTGGGCTGCTATAAATAGATACATGAGCAAGAGTCCCAGACTCCACCTGGGTGAGGTCAGGGAAGGCTCCTCAGAGGAAGTGACTTTGAGACTGGATCTTTAAGGATCAGTAGGAGCTTGTCAGGCAGAGAAGCAAGAAAGAGTCTCCCTGCAAAGGGTTGGAGGTATGAAGGGGGCCACACATGAGGCCAGGCTCGGATGCAGAGCTGCATTGCTGCTGGTTTAGGGTATACCACCAGAGAGCTGCTTTTTCTCTTCCCTGCTGGTTGCAGCAACATCTGTTGGCTTCCCTCTGCCTCTAAGTAGCACAGTAAGGCTGGGGAATTCCACAATCACTCAGAAACTAGGAGGGACATTTGACAGGGTCACAACAGGCTGCCCCTTACCCTGACTCCTGGAAGAAAAGTCCCAAACATTCCTCTCTGTAGACTCAGGGAAACTGAGGCACAAGTGAAAAGGGATATGACCAAAGTCGTGATGTGGGTGTGAATGGAGGTGGGCAGGAACTAGGGTAACAGAGGGTTGGAGGTAGAATGGTGTGAACCCAGGATTGGGAAAGGCCGTTCATTCATTCAACATCTATTTATTGAGCACTTACTGTGTACCTACTACAGAGGGCACAGTACTGAATAAGACAGACATAACTCCCTGCCCTCAGGAGGTGGTGGTCCGGAGGGTAAGCCAGACAAGCCAAATGCCTAAGTGAAATGATAGTTTGCCAGAGGATAAGTGCTATGGGGAAAAGGAGGGTAAGGGATATGGAGTGTGTCTCGGGGTGGGGGCTGTAATTTTAAAGAGGGAGGTCAGAAAGAGCCTCACTGGAAGATAACATGTAAGCACAGACCTAAGGGAGGAATCATGAAGATGTCTGGGGATAGACATGCTAGGCAGAGGGAACACCATGTGCAAAGTGCCTGAGGTGGATGGCTTGTAGGGAAATAACAATACAGCTGGAGTAGTGGGATATGATGGAGCCTGGTTCTCACCTATGTGCGTCCTTGCACATGCTCATTCACAGGCCTTTGCACAGTCCCAGCCTCACATGCCCCCTTTCATACCTGTGTAAGTCCACACACCCTAAATACACATGCACACACTCATGAATACAGCGTGGTGCACAAGCGTGTACATACACGGGGAGGGGCCACACAGACTCAGGTACATTCGCAGACAAAATCCACATGCACACTCGTGTCCACACACCGTCCTGGCACCAGCAGGGGATTCCACCGCTTGCTGACCCATGGCGCCCTCTGGTGGCCAGTGCTAGTATGGCGCTGGACATGAGCTGGTCACTCGATGGAGCCCTGGGCAGTGTCAGCGACCCTCTCTGACCCTCCTCCTCTTCTGTGCTTTCTGCCCCCAGTTCCTCCAAAATTCAGCCAGAGAAAGCCTTTCAAATAACAGGGCTCCAAGCCCTGCCAAGGCTCCCTAAGTGGGGGAACTGCCCCAGACGTCTCCCCAGTCCAGCCACTCGCAACCCAAGCTCTCCTCCGGGGACCTTTCTTTGCAAAGGCTGTTTCTGCAGCTGGGAATGACCTTCCCTGCCTTCCCCACCTGACTCATTCCTATCCCCTTTCAAGAAGGACCAGCCAGTTCTGAAACCAGGAGACTCTCCCTGACGCCGCCATTCTCAGTGCCCCCACTATGGCCCCTCTCAGGGACCCCAGCTCTGCCAGTGGCCACATCCCCATCTGCCTCTCTGTCAGACTTGTGCTGCTCCAAAGCAGGGGTTGGGGCTGGTTCCTTCTGGCCCCGCTTCAAGCTGGCTAGAGGTAGTGCTTTGTGGCAGGAAGAAGCTACCCTTGAGGAGTTTGGAGGGAGGTGGGAGCCTCTTACTCAGGGTCAGGCTATGAAGTTGCAGGAAAGGAGAAAGCTGTAAGGCAGGGCAGCGCTCAATGGCTCTATTTAAATTGTCACCACTTCCAAGTATCAAAGGGTAAATTCATACACGTTAGATGGTTCCACTAGCAAAACAGCAAGTATGTTTTTTAGAGCACCTACTATGTGCTAATCCTTTGAAGCACATTATCTCACAGACTCACTCCAATGCAAGATGCATAGAGACAGTGACTGCTTTGGTCACTGAGGTCCTCGACACACAGCAGGTGCTCAATGAACAACTGTGGAATGGAGGAAGACTCACCTCACCTTAGCAAGGTAAGAAACAGATGGGAAAACTGAGGCTCAGAGAAGTGCTGGAGGCCTCTGGTAATGGTGGAGCTTTTCTTGGAACTGTCAGATGGAGAGTTTTCCCTGCCTTTTCCTGCACATACTTCCATTAAAATGGTTTGCAAAACAAGTCACCCCTGAGCTCCTTGTGCTGCTTTTTGGAAAGATTCCAAGCTCTTTTGCTTCTGATGGAGCCCTCTGGTCTGTTCTGCCTCATACCCTGCAAGGTAGCATAGAAACCGGAAGACTGCCCCAGGAACCTGTCCAGGTACCCCGGGGCTCTGGGAACCCCAGGAGCCCCTGCCCAGAGTCTGTTTGTCCCCTGTCCGGTACTCACATGTGACACTTCCTGCCTGGGAGGTGGGGATAGGCATTGATTGACACCTGTTGCTCCAAGCCTGAGACATGACATGACCTGATGAGGCCAGTGTGGCTAGACCTTCATCTCACAGGCAAGGAAACTGAGGCCCAGGCTTCAAGCAGTTTGCCCAGGTCCCACTAACAGGAATGATGAAACCAGGCTTTTAATCCAGATCATCAGAACAGCATACTATGTATTGGGCATTTTACTAGAAGGCTTATGCTTGTTATCTAGAATCCAGGACCTCGGGGTTGTTCTTATCACCATGGCATGGGGGAGAAGTACTGCAAACACAGAGACAAGCAACTTGCCCAAGATCACACGACCAGGGAGAAGAGAGGCTGAATTGCACGTGGATCAGGCTGGTGCCACCCAGACCTGGGTGCATCCCAATGTCTGCCTGCCAAGTGCTGTTTTTTAATCTGAGGGGTGGCCTGGCTCCCTCAGGAAGTAGCTAAGTGATCTTGAGCCAATCACTTGTTTCAGCCAGGCCTTGGAGATCATCACATCCATTCTTGTCAATGTTTCTGTCCCCTTTCAGCCATCTCCAAGCCTGGGTTTACAGCCCTCCCATGATGAGGGTCTCACCCTCTCATTAGCAGTGTTTCCATTCCCAGGAAATCCTGACCATTACCAGCTTCTTCCTTAAGTTATGCTGAAATTTGTCTCTTGGAGATCCCAAGCTCAAATCCATCCATCTATTCAACATAAATTCCTGAGCATCTATTTTTGCCTGATGCTGTGTTAAGTGCTGAGGGGACTGCAAACAACAAGGTATACAAGTCCCTGCCTTCATGGAGCAAACCTGGAGGAGGCTGAAAAAGAAAGCAAATACATCAGTGAAAATAAATATATAAAATAATTTCAAATAGTGATAAGGGCTACCACTATTGGTGATGTGGCAGAGAGGCACTGGGGTGGTTCCATTAAGGAGGGTGGGTAAGGAGGCCTTCCTGGAAGAAGTGTCCTCTGAGCTCAGACTTGGGTGGCAAAAAGAGCCATGTGAAACTGGGAGTAGAAACTGACTTAAAATAGTCCATGGCACACAGAAGATGCTCTGAGAGAAGGCAAGGGGGACTTCTGGTTAACCGTGAACGAAATAGGAATATTTTTCTCCCTTCCCTCCCAAAACCCACTAAAATGACAGTAAAATTAGAAAAACAGACAAAAAAGCCTTAAGGCATAAACTAACAAGGGCAAAGAAAACAAAGTCAATGATAGGGACAAGGGGAATCTACAAATTTTTCAAAGCTGGAAGATAAATAAAAACATGGTAACTATATAACAGAGTGGAGGAAGGTGAAATGGAAGTGCGCAAGGGGACAGAGCCAATCTGAGGCCCCCTAGAAACACTTAGCCTGGGAGGCACCAGGTTCCTCTGGAGGTAGAAGAGCAGGCGAGTATGTAAACAAAATTGAGTTAAGAGTTTGTAAAAGGAATTAATTAAGCCTTACAACTTCCCAGAACCAAAGGCCATGAGTCTCCAGGTTGAAAGGATCCTGAGTGCCCAGGTCGAGCCAAGGAGAAAACAAGGCAATTATTAACTGCTGGAAAAACAACACAAAATAGAAAATGTAGTCATAAAGGACTGCACAGTTCAGCTGGGAACAATATTTACATGATCATAATATTGTAAACACCAAACTCTGATGTATCCAAAAGTTGTGATGAAATGAGAGTGGGCTCTCAGGGGAGAAGTGCAGGGATCCATGTATTGGGTCTTCGGAAAAGTCATGATGCATTTTTGCAACAGGTGGCACTAGTACATTTTTGGAAGTACTAGAGTCATTCGCATCTATGTTATTGCTATGTCATTTGACAGCTGACAGTTCTAGCTTCATTCTGAAAAACAATTCAGTGATTTGGTTGAGTTTTGAAGATTTTACAAGTTGAAGATGGAACACCAAACTGTGCATTTTTGCCATATTTTACTGTTTTACTTCCATAAAGGGAAGAGTGTGCATCAAGCTTGTGAAAAGTTGCATAAAGTTTATGGTGACATGCTCTACAAGAACGTCAGTGCCAACAGTGGTTCACGAAATTCCGTGCTGGTGATTTTGATCTCAACGACGCTCCTCGGTCAAGGAGGCCCACCGAGGTTGATGATGACAAAATAAAGGCATTGATCGAGTCAAACCCACGTTACACGATACGAGAGATTTCAGAAACATTGAACATCCATCATTCAAGCGTTCACGACCACCTGAAGAAGCTGGGATGCATAGTAAACAAGGTTGATATTTGGGTTCCGCATGAATTCAAAGAATTTTATTTGATGGCATGTATAAACATCTGCAATATGCTCATTAAACTTGAGGAAAACGATCCTTTTTTGAAGCGACTGATAACTGGTGATGAGAAGTGAATTGTTTACAACAATGTGGTGCGCAAACAGTCTTGGTCCCGATGTGATGATTTGCCTCACACGACATCGAAAGCAGACATTCATCAAAAGAAGGTTATGCTCCCAATGTGATGGCATTTTAAAGGTGTCGTGTTTTCGAGCTTCTATCAAGGAACCAAACAATCAATTTGAATGCGTACTGTTGGCAAATGGACAGTTTGAAGGAATCCGTCATCCAGAAATGTCCAGAGCTTGTTAATTGTAAAGGAGTTCTGTTCCATCGCGACAACACGGGACCACACACAAGTCTGATCCCCGTCAAAAATTCTTGGAGCTTGGATGGGATGTGTTGCCACACCCACCATACTCGCTTGACCTTGCACTATCAGACTTCCACTTGTTCGCTCTCTTCAAAGCTCTTTGTGTGGTATAACGTTCAATTCAGATGAGGCTGTACATCAGCACCTTGTTCAGTTTTTCAAATAAATAAGCACAAACAAATAAAAACAGGTCCTTCTATGAACGAGGAATTATGAAGCTCACTGAAAGATGGCAAAAGGTTATCGAACAAAATAGGCAATATATCATTGATTGATCTTTGTTCTTTATATAAATAAATGACCTTTGAAAAACATAGACACAATACATCATGACTTTTCCGAAGACCCAATATAAGAGAATTAAATCCTCAAATCTGTAGTAGGAAACCATCAGATACTGTCTAAAATTGAAAAGAAATTTAAAAAGAAATAGCAATATAAACATGTGATTGAGAAACAAGGAAGCGCTAAAAGGATTGGAAGCACTATAATATCAGCTGTGGGAGGGTAGGGATTTGGTCGGTTTGGGCCACCGCTGTTCCCAGGGCCTAGTACAGAGCCTGGTACACAGTAAATGCTCAATTCCTGTTTGCCCATTGGTGCGTGCAGGCAGCTGCTATTTTTTTTTGTTGTTCTTATAAGCCTTGTGGTGCTTTTTGACTTTTAACACTATGTGCATGCATTGTTGTATAAAAATAAAAAGTAAACTTTTGGGAACAATTAAAAGGCCAGTGTGTCTAGAGTACAGCTCAAGCATGAGGGAGAGGAGACGAGGACTAGAAAGACATGTGGTATAGTGCTGGAAGGCCAAAAATGGAGTATTTTTAGAGTATCTTGAGTGATTCAGGGATTCTCCAGCCTGCAAGCCACATGCTCAGGAATAAAGGAAAAAGTCACTTCCCAGAGCCATGTGGAAAAAGACACCATGGGGGCCGGCTGAGTGGCTCAGTTGGTTAAGAGCTCGGTCAAGAGTTTGAGCTCTGAGCAATAGCGGGTTCGAGTCCCGGCCGGAGCTGAGCAGCCGCTGAGCTGCCAACAGGTGGCAAGATGGCTCAGCTAAAAAAAAAAAGACACCATGGCTGCCACTACCAGGCCTGGCACTGCGGCCACGCCCCCGCTGAAGGGCCCGGCACAACCCTTCCCCTGCCCCACCCCAGTGTGGTTTCCACGCGAAGCCCAGGACGGTCCTATTGGCTGTGCCCGGTTATGTGGTGCACAGCACGCTGGGACAGGAGGGTTAGGCGTGTCCCATGTCTCTAGTGGAGGTGGTCCAGCCGGGGAGGGAGGGGAGATAGAGGGGCCCCCAGGACAGGGTCTGCTGCGGGTCAGGAGAAGGAGGGCCACACGCCCATCCGCGGGGGCCCTGGTGGGTGTCCAGCTGCTGGCGCAAGCCTTGGCTGGGGCACTACCTCGGAGCCAATGGGCCTGCTGGGGAAATAGTTGGGGTCGAGCAGCAATGTGGACCTGAAGTCAAGCCCCAGATCGGTCCTGAACGGTACCTCGCAGAGCGCGGGAACAAGCGCTTTCCGGCAGAAACATACCGATTTTTTACATACCGATTTTTTTTTTTTTCCCACAAGCGTTTCCCACCTCCCTGCGCAGAGAAGAGGCTGTCTTAGGAGAAAACACCGGACCAGCTGGGAGAGGGCGCTGCTAGCAGACCTGTGCTGGAGAAGCTCCTCCTCATGAAATGCCCTTGGCTGCCACCTCCAGCTTGCTCTGCAAAGGCTCAGCCATCCCAGCCTCCCAAATGTTTCCAGACCCTTTCCAGCAACCAACAGGTCTTCCTCATATCAGGGGAGAAGGGGTGTTCAAGAGGTTGATCTTGGGAAACTGCAAGCATTCTTGGCTGGAAAGAAGAATTTGTCCCCTGGGGGAAGGTGGGGTGCTGGGGAGCCCTTGAGACCACCAGTGAAGGAATTGATTTCCTCCCCTGGTGCCCAGCATTCAGACTGATTCAGACATCTGATGGGCGGGTGGTCAGGGTGTCCCAAGTTCACTTAGACAAGTGACTTTCTTTGCCCTCCTAAGTGTAGATTTCTAGTGCCCTGGGTCTGAAGGTATAAATAATGTAAATGGAGCCACTTCAAAATGGAGGCAGAGCTGCCATGCCCAGGAACTACCTTGCATGATGTGGGCCTCAAACCATTGGAATGTTAAAAGAGGACAAAATAACCTTTGGACTCTGCCTAGGGCAACATTGTGTCCCAAAGAACTGTTTGCAAAGATAACAAGAAACTACTTATTATGACTACTGGACTGATGACTACCAGACTGAAAATTTAAAACATTGTTTAGAATTAACATCACTATGTTATGTTATGTTATCTGCCCCAATAGAAATGCCTTCCCTTTATTGATATAATTGTTCCCCTTCCCTCTCTCATAAATACTCATTGCCTTTTCTCCTAATCGGAACACTGTTTGAGCTTCTGCCTGAATCAGTGCCTCCCGAATAACATTCTTTGATTTCAAATAAATGCGTGTTGCCTGTCACTTTGAAAGGCCCTTTTATATTTAGGTTAGCAGAGGTTATTGTTTGTGCTTGGGAGTGGCAGGAAGGATGTTCGGTCTTGCACACTTGGAGGTGTCCTCCCATGGGGTTGTTCTGTGAAGGACTTAGAGCTTGGGTCACTGCAGAGGGAGCTTCTGTGATGACTTTGTCCTTGGTGGCTGTGCAGCAGGCTACAACGAGGGGGCTAGAACGAGGGCACCAAACCAGCATCCTCCTGGGGTGCCACATGCCCCAAACATGACCTCTTCTACTACTGGTAGAAACTCTTCCTTCTGCCATCGGTCTCTGCCTGGATTGAACCTTAAGGGGAAATTGGCTAAAAGTTGCAGCCTGGTCCAAGTTGCAGAGTAAGAATGTAAGAAATACTCAGCCATGTGATTTCTGAGCATTGAGATTACAAGGAATGTATTTGTCTTCTTTATGCTTTTTCTGTCAAACATTTCTGCAAGACTCGTGTTATTTTTAATATATAGTAAATATATAGTAGTTTAATATATTAATAAAGTTCATTAATATAATTAATGTTAATTTAATATTTTAATGTGAACAAATGCCTTAATTATTTTTAACTGCCTGTTCTTTACAACTCAAATCCTGCCTCTTCTATGCAGTCTTCCTGGATTACCCAAGCTGAGATCCTCGTGGGACTTGACACGATCTCGTGACCCAAGGCTCCAGACTCCAGTGGTGTCAGTGGCTGGGTGTGTGTAGTGGTTTGGATGCGGCAGAGGGTCACAGCCAATAATCCCTGATTCTAATCCAGCCTCATTGTTTCATAGGGGAGGGGTGAACAGTGGCTCAAGATTTTTTACCCTGGGCCGAGTTCTAAGCCAGCACTGCCTCTGCATCCCCAAACCTCTCACAGGTCCCAGCAGATACGTGTTGAGAAAAGAACAATGATCAGAGATAGAAGAAAATCACAAATTCTCCCATCTTCTTATCTTCTGCTGCGTTACAACCCCCACTGAACTCAGTGATGTCAGACGACTATTTTATGATGCTCGGTAACAGCAGGGGTGGCCTGCCTCTCCCACAGACATCTGGGGTCTCAGCTGGATTCATCTGGAGGCCCCTCCACTTCCATGTCAGGGTCCTGGGCTGGGAGGACTCCAGGGCTGGGCCCAGCTCGGGCTGTGGCCGGGACACCTGCATGGAACCTTTGTGTCTAGCCAGGGCTTGCTCACAGCATGGCAGATGGGCACTGAGTAGGAGTGGCCTAAGAGAACCAGGTGGAAGCTTCCTGGCCCTGTCTGACAGAGTGTCAGCAGTCACACTGTGTCACTTCTGCCTTACTCTGTTGGTTGAAGCAGCCCACCCAGTTTTAAGGGGAGGACACATAGACCCTGCCTTGAAATGGGAGGAATGACAGAGAGCTTGCAGCCATTTTTTTCAACCTCCACATCCCCCTCTGCAACTGATCGTGGACAGTGACCATTCACAGAGTCACCTACCACAATTTCCAGTGTGTCAGCATGTTTCCTAGGGTAGGGACCCTGATGGGGACTTCCTCCTCCAGTGAGGAGGCTGGAGCAAGTCCAGGTGTGGGGATGGAAGGTGGGGACAGGATCTGAGAAAGATTCAGAGGCCTTAGTGGCTGGTTGGAAGGGGGTGGAGGCCGAGGGAGGAGGCCAGGGTCATGGGAAGGCTTGAAACCTCCTCTGGGCTCAGGAGGAGGGTGCCAGTCACAAAGATAACTGTGGGGCAATAAGTGTGGAAACAGAAGATAGTAAGCAGGGTGAGTTGAGTTGAAAAGTTTGATGCCTGAAAGCCTGCACCACCTCCCCCAGGAAGCCTTTTCTGCCGCTCTAGGTGGAATTCCTCTTCCCTTCTATGGGCCCCCCAAAACCCTGTGCTGCCCTGATCACACTTGTTAGGAGCCCAAAAGCCCAGGCCTGATGCATCTTTGGGTCCCCAGCCTCATCCAGGACAAGAGAAAGGTACCTCCAGGATGAGGGACCTCCCAGTAGCCCTCAACAGGCTACCGAATGACTCCCACAATGCACTTAGTCAGGGTTGAATTCTGGCTCCTCCGTTTACTTGTGTGCGACCCCAGGTGAGTTCCGGGATTTCCTAACTGCTCTGAGCCTCAGTTTCCTCCTCTGTAAAGTGGGGGTTTTGAATGATACTCACTTTAAAGAGTTAGGATGAGGATTAGAATGTGCCTGGCACATAGTTAGAACTCAGTGAGGCTTGGCTGTGATCAGCCCACTCCCGAGGCCTGGGGGCAGGAGGAAGCCTCAGGATCTGGGCCAACTCAGGGGCCTGCTAGGGTCTTGAACTGGATGTGTGGGCTCTCTTGAAGGACAAGCTTCAGTCTGGCCCTTCCCTCAGGTGTGTTCAGTCTGACCCAGAGAAGGACTGTTGGGAGGCGCCTCCCTAAAACTCCTGGGGCAGCCAGATTTAGAGAAGGGCCGGACCTCTAAATTACTCAAAACAACACCGTGGGTGGGACACCTCAGATGGTGGAATCAGAGGTGGCTTCCCAGAGGAGGGGGAAATTTCAGTTCAAAATTCAAAAGGCAACAAGTGTAGAGTGAAAAGTGTCTCTACCTTTGTCCCCCAGCCACCTGGGACCTTCCCAGGACTCAGCCCCTTGCATCTCCCCTCATGTACGAGGTAATAATATCTGTTCTTTTCTCACTGTGCTGCACATCTCTCTGTGACCGCACATCCACCTTAGATCCTGTGTGTCTTTCCATTTCAGCATAAAGACAACAGCCTCATCCTTTTCGCAGCTGCAGAGTATCCACCAAACGACTCCCACAATGCACTTAGCTGGTACCCTGTTGGGCGACATTTGGGTGCCTTCCAGTCTTTTGCATTTATAATGACTATCCTCGTGCAAACACCGTTTCCCACACATGAGAGTATATCCTGAGGAAGACAGCCCCAGAAGGGGGATGGCTGGGGCACAGGGCATATTTATATAGCCAGATCTTGCCACATCACCCTCCACATAGGGTCCCTAGCAGACAGGGTCAGCCTGTTTCCACTGGGACGATTTTAAAGAACAGGGTGATACTTGGGTGGGGAGGGTAGTCCAAGAAGCAGTACTGCATCACAGATAAGGGTGTAGAGATGGGGAGTCATAATGAGTTTGAAAGGAGAAGGGAAAGGGGTGAAACAAGGACAGTATGACCCACTTCCGAGGGCTGTCATGATGGTTGGTGAGGATGCACACGTGCCGTGCCTGGGCTCCCCCAGAACTGTGGGCCCCACAGGATGGGGCAGGCCTCCCAGAAGGGACAGGGGCCATGAGTTTGGCCCTGCAGTCAAGCATTCAGGTTGAGGGAACAGCATGCCTGGATTTAAATCTTGCTCTACCACTAATTTATTGAGCAAGTCTCTTCGTCCATCCAAGCATCAGCTTCCTCATCTGTAAAACTGGACAATAACAGCTACCTCCTTGAGTGAGATAATTCATGCAGAGCCCAGTGCTCGGCACCTACGAGGTGCTCGATAAATAGTCACTGTTTGCCTCCAGTTCTCTGCTCAGCCTGGCAGTAGTGTATGAGCTGGGTGAATGTTTACTGAATGAGGGTGTGAGCAAATGACAACATCAGTGCAAGAGAACCTCTGCCACCCCTTCTGGGCTGTGGGACTTTAGCTGGCCACAGCACCTTTTCACTCCTCAATCGTCTCATCTGACAAATTGGAACCAGATCCTGGGTGCTGTGGTGAGGCTCGAATGAGGGGACATGTCTGTGCACGCCCGGCATGCAGGTGCCATGACGTGGGCTGGGAGACAGGGAGGGATATCGCTTTGTCACATGGGTGGGGCAGGGAGGGCGAGGCCATTTCCAAGACCTCCTCTGGGCCCAGCCAAGCAGCTGAAGCCAGCTGGTTGGTTTTGATAAATGGCACTTATAAACAACAAATGACACAGAGATGTCCTGGGCTCCAGCAGAGTCTGAGTCTCCCTCAGGGAATTCCAGCAAAGGGGACCTGAGTGTGGGTTTTTGGCACCGAGGAGCTTCCATTGGCAGGTGCCACTGGGAGTTCTGGGTTGAGAGGCATGAGATCTTCTTCTAGCCACCTGATAAAACACAGTCATAAAATAGCAATAGTAGTAAAAATAATAAGAGCACCCACTTACTGAGCGTTTATATAATTTAATCCTCAAAACAAACCAGAAAGAAAATATTTGCAAAACACATCTCTGATAAAGGACTTGTATCCGGAATACAAAGAATTCTTATAACTCAATCATAAGAAAACAAACAACTCAATAAAAAAAATGTGCAAAGGACCTAACACCTCATTAAAGAAGATATCCAGATGGCAAATACGCACATGAAAAGATGCTTAGCATCATTAGTCATTAGGAGAACGCAAACTAAAACCACAATGAGAGTCTACTACACACCTATTAAAATGGCCAAAAAATGTGAAAGACTGATAATTCCAAATGTTGGCCAGGATGTGCAAAAACTGGAACTCTCACACATTGCTGGAAGAAATGCAAAATGGCACAGCCACTCCGGTAAACAGGTTGGCAGTCTCTTACAAAATTAAATATACACCTACCTACAACCCAGGCCTTCTACTCCCAAGAGAAATGAAAATCTACATTTACACACACCAAAAAACAAAAAAACAAAAAACAAAATACCCCACAACCCCTATAATCTGACTATAGCAGATTTATTCGTTATAACTAAAACAAACAACCCAAATGTCCACGAACTTGAAAATGGAAAAACAAATTATAGTATATTGATCAATGG